GGGGGCGGGCTCGTGCCATTTTTTCAATGGGGAGCGCTTTTTTTTTTGGGGGGGGGGGGGGGCTAGACAAAAATTCGGGGGCTAAAGCCCCCCCCCCCCAGCCCCCCCCCCCCCCCCCTCCCCCGTAGAACCGCCACTGACGCCAACACCGACTAGACGGGAATAAAATGAAATGTTCCCCCTTGGAGCTCACCCTCTCGGCCCGGTATTGTCACGAACTCCATGCCCAACTTTTGAGTGGTCATCTCCAGTTTGGTCATGGGCATTGGCTGCGTGGTGGCATCGTCGTCATCATCATCATCATCATCCTCTAGATGGGATCTTTTTTAGCAAAGAAAGAGAAAGAGGGAAAAATGTCAATTCAAGGTGTGTAGTTTTTTTTCGAAATCTTGGTTATATATTCCCGGATCAGGTCAAGGAGATTACGGCTCAGGAGCTAAGATTTTTGATATTTGAAAAATATTATAATAATAATAATACCGAAGTCTTATATAGCGCACGTATCTACCAACATTATTGGGTACTCAAGGCGCTGGAAATTATGTCTGTTATTAGAGACAGGTAAATGAAGTACATGAAAAATATGAGAACCATCGCAGATGAAGGGGGTTAAGCTTAGGGGCGAGTAGGAAAGAAAACCCCGCCATCCCATTGTAGAACTGGTCATATACATTCGAGGTTACAAGACGTGCACGCACATATTTTGATGAGCACCTCTTTTTTAAAAGAACAAAAACAAGAGAAAAAGGTAACTTACAAAGCTGTCTTGTACTTCGCCACCCAGTCGTCAGCAAATCTCGGCGGTCTTATTTCCAAACGCGAAGGCATTTTTCTCATCGAATCAGATCTTCAAATCTAAAGTCTGACACTAACTCCTCATCTGGATAAGTCTCGGGGTGCTCTACTTCAAATCGCGAACGCATCAAGTTCTCACATAAGATAGGGGAGCTTCAAGACATACTGATTTGTATTTTTTTTTCAGGTTGTGGTTATACACGTTAGAAGGGTCCCGTCGTCTTGCAAGCAAAGAATCAGTCACTTCCCTTGTACCAGCCGCGATCAGTTTTGGCGATTTGAAGACTCTTTTCTGATTCACTTTGACATCCGTTAGTTTGAGAGGAAGGGGGGGGGGGGGGGGTTGAAGAAAGTGCCTGTGAATGTGGCTTTAGGGAGATGGTGACAAGCGTTACTCACCCCTTCTGACGTGACTGCCACAGGCCTGCGCGTGCTTTGCAGTACCCCCTCCCGGCCTCTACCAATGATTGGACACGAAGAAGTTCTCGGGAAGTCGTTTTTGTATACGCGGGGGCAGGGGATTTATGATTCAGACATTTCTGACGTCATTTTGTGAGCTAAAAGGCCCAGTTAATTGCCCCATACGTGTTTATCGGTCTTTAGAGAGAGCAAAAGTTGAATCAAAATCACGATGACGTAAGCTGTACAGAGGCGTCCCAGAAATTTCTTAAAACACACCCAGCAACTTAAAAGCCTTTCTGTTTGACGAAAGTAAGTCAAAAGGTCCTTTTCGAAACTTACAAATATTTCAGCTGGCATCTTGGTATTAGTGGATTACAATTATCATATTGAGGGATTAAAATGGAATCCGTGCTTTTTTTGTTTTGAATTAAGATGTCTCTGCTTATTTCAAATAGAATTATGGTTAACTATGGGCATAAGCCTAAACCTCCAACGGAAAATTAGGAATCTTCTGTCAAGCATAGAGCTAGAGAGGCCTAATAATGTCGTGACATGTCAAGTTGGAGTGGTTCTCCATTTCGAGGGGGTGGGGGGACTCGACGCGTTTTTAACAATAGCAAGCTCATTTTTGCCTTCCCAAAATTTTGAGCGGTGGGTTGGGGCACTTGGGTTGGGGCGCACAGGCATCAAGGGGGGCACGTGCTATCCCTAGCCCCTGCGCCACTGCTAAAATCTCAATTTCAGTTCTAAAAGACAATCCACGATGTCGTCATATTTTTATTGCTGTAGTTTCCAGTAATTTCTTGCACAAAGACTCCTCTTGAATTATCAATTGTGACATCCTTACCTCGAATTAAAACATTTTATTGCCAGCTTCCTTTTCAACACTCCATTACTAAGAAATAAACCCGAAGGGGAAATGTTGTTGTTTTTTCTCCGTTAACAAGCCGGATGAGGTTAGTGCTTGCCCCCGCAGTATCACCCGGCTCCTACGGCGCAGCGGACGGTCGGTCCCCTAGGTTCCCCACCACATGCTTCTGGTTTCAATTTCACTTTGTTTTGAACATTCGGAGATGTCACTGCCTTGCGCTTTGTGCATGGGCTACAGTGACGCACATACTCAGTAAAAATAGTCGAGATGTCATCACTTTAACATTGGCGCTCTACCTCAAAAGGAATGACAAACTTATGACTTACAAGATGTCAAAATTTGCTCTACCCCCCCCCCCCGCCTCCCCCTCCCACCCACCCACAAAGTTCTCTTATTTTTAGTACACTTCTTTGGGCATTGGAAGCAACACAACTCTTTTTCCCAAACGATTTTTTCCGAGAAGCTTTAAATGATGGATATCCCTTCAAGTAACTGTGAAGCTTCGTCGACCTTTTTAAATTTAAAACTAAATAAAAATGAGGAAAAAATTAATAATAATTTTGATCAAATTAACGTGGACGGTTTCTTTCCTAACAAACAGAAGCGATTACTTTCAGAAACCGAGGAGAGGATGGAGGGTTTAGCGGAATGTCCCATTCTGTAAGAGAATATGCGGAAAGATCGATTAAAAGTAGAATACTCTCACTGTGGTATTAGACCAGCGTAGAACCTAATTTACCGCAGACAGTTTTACTGAAAATTTGTTGGCAGCTTTGGCTCATACTTTGATTAATTTATACACTTCTAGAAATCCGCAAGATCAAGCTAAAACAATGGCTCTGCATTTAAAAACGAACAGGGTTTTGGGCAATTTTCTCTGAAAATATAAAACATTACGTGGATTTCAAACGTGACCAAAAACCTTTGAAATATGGTAAGTATACAATACAGGGTGGGTCAGAAAGAAAGTAACCTAAATAAGAAAAACTATATTAAAAAAAGTATGTGGCTTGCACCATTTAATACAAATATTATAGGGATTAGGTGCATATTATTGACTAGTAACTGTGAACTTTTCTCGTATTTTGCAGACTGAATTTACAAGTTATGTCTATTTTAATACAAACATCACAAAATTCAACTGTCAACCATGATCACTTATCGTTCAAATACAATGAAACAAGGGTGTGCTCCTACCCAAGGGCGGATCCAGAACACAATTTTTTTTTTTGGGGGGGGGCAAAAAAATTTCTTGGTCCCCCAAAAACTAAAAAATTACGGCGTGGGTCCGAAAATGTTTGGGATTCTAGATGCTTTTAGATGCTCTAGATGCTTTTAGACCACTTTAACCAATTTTTTTGGAGGAAAAGATGGTGGAGTACTCATTGCCTGCCTTTATTGCGATGTCACATTTAAAAAAAAAAATTGGTTTCTTTTTTTGGGGGGGAGGGGGAGTTGTGCCATGGCCCCCTTTGGCCCCCCCCCACCCCCTGGATCCGCTCTTGCTCTTGCCTTAACGAATAAACGAAAATGTCCACAGGAAAACAGACATTAATCCCCATCATTATTCCAGAAAAAAATTATCATATTCAAAACACACAATCTCACAGTAAAAATAGCGTTTCAGTCTTTACAAAAAATATAAAAATCTCATTTGTATCTGAAGCCTGTGTGTATTAAATCACTGGTTCTCACTCAGCTCAACAGCTTCAAATGGTATTCCATGGACAGTTGTAAAAAAATGGACTATTTTAGTAAAATTTGCATAATTCCTCATAGCATGGATCAATTTCAGTAATTCCTTTTTTTTTTAAATGAGTGGAAGAACAAGCTCGTTTAACATATGCTTCGTCGAGTTGGTCGTCAAATTCAATGTCCTTTTTAAGGGGGAAATAATTACTCCAGGTCACTTTCTTGTGACTCACCCTGTGTAAAAACAAACTGGTTATATCCAAACAAACGTGCACCTTTAAATGTCGGCAGTAGCATGATGGTGTTGATAAGGATTGACCGGCATTTCCTGATTATTAAGATTCCAGAGAAACAAAGCAAAAACGACAAAATCTTTCCAAGCCTTCTTTTTTTATTGCCAATTATTTTACTATGCAGTCATACTTAAGCTGAACTAGAACTCTATACACAAGGTGACAATGATGCTTTCTATATCTGAAAACTGTCCATCACAAGCAGTACTGTTCTAAAGCAAAGTGTTACCGTTTTTCGTAATATTTACAAGTTTGGCACATATTCAAATGATTATTTTAGAGACTTACGACAGTCAAACTGAATTATATTCATAATGTTTTTGTCTATATTCCTTTACAATTTAACTCTTATTTCCTCATATAAACGATGGTTTCAACTAACATCGTTTTCTTTGTTTCATCTTTAGAAATTTGAATTTTATAAATATAATTCTTCACAACCAACAAGTCTTGTTACTTGTCTCTTTATTTCGACTAAAACCCGAAGCTTGCGTTTTTTCTTCTTCGGAATTCATGATTAGTGTGCTGTTTACTTAATTGTGTTTGCTCATCGAATTTTTGAATATGTATTACGAATTTAAAGCAATCTATACCATAGGCGTCGCCAGGATTTTTCCAGGGGAGGGGCAAAGCAATTTTTTTCCCCAAAAAATTCCTTAATTTTTTTCATTATATTCTCAATTTATCATTTTTCCGAACGTGACCAGGGGCAACATTTGCCCTACACTCCCCCCCCCCATCAAATTAACAGCAACATGGCTTTGCCCCTCTTTTCCTTTTTTTTTCTTTTTCCTTTTTCCTTTTTGTTTTGCGTTTTCGGGGGGGGGGGGCAGTGCCCCCCTTGCCCCCTTGCCCCCCCCCCCCCGCGACGCCCATGATCTATACAGTTTTCAGCTTGCATATATTTTATAGAATTTATGAATAGTGATTATGCATTTTACTATTTAAATATGTTTTACGAATGCTGTTGCAAATTGAAGTTTTAATGGTTGGCATCGCTGATAGGATTGCTGAAAAAAATGCGCACTATTCTAAGAAAACGTTCATTTAATTTAAGATTTATAAAAACTAAACTGACATCATATTTAAGAAGTTTTCAACCCTTGAACCATTTCAGCGAACTTTTTTTTTTTTTACAGGCGCGCGTGTTATAATCCTAAAAACACTATATTTTACTTTCAATTCTTGGAAGGAATGTGAATTGTATTGTACTCATTGACGGACATTATGATCGGTACGGTAGGGCTGGTCGGGTACCCTTCTCCCTTATTCCGACTTAGCATTGAGTATTCGCCGTCGCCTTCCTTGCACTGAGGTTGGACCACGTTGTACTGGTTAACTTGGGAGGGCTTCCCTGGCGGGTACCCCGCAGGGGAGGTGTAAGCGTAAGCGTAGTCATAGCGTAGCTTGGCACTTGCGGATGCGGGGGAATTTCCAGGGGAGATGCTTGCCACTTCGTAGCCCGAGTCAGCCCCTGGACTTTTCTCCCCACTGACCGGGCCAAGTACCCCACTACTCTTATCAACCTTTGTGTACCTCGGCGCAGCCTCAAGCTGCCCGGCCGGGTTGATTGACGCTACTTCGTACGAAGTGTCGGGGTTGGGCGATGTCGACAGACTCCCCCGAGGCGATATCGAGGCGACTTCGTAAGCGACCGGGTTGTGTGCCCCCTCAAACGGTGACCTCTGTCCCTCGCACATGGGTTCTTCGTAACCATGCCCTGGCTGCGACTTGGGATTTTTCCGCGGATGCTTTAGGGGTTCCGTCTGACCTCCATTAGGTCCGACAAACCCGCCTGGATTGTCATAGCCAGCGTCTGGTATAGGCGAGTGTTCGCTGCTTGCTTGTTCCGGGGAAACATCGCTGTAGTTGCCCTCCGAGAACGCGACGTTGAAGTTGCCGAGCAGAGCCGGGGGATTGCCGTGAACCTCCCCCGGGTGCCCCGGTGAACGCACCCGGCCCTTGGCCTTTAATTGGTTCGGGGTGTCGCTCATGGGAGGGCAGAAGAAGTCACCACTTCTCTCCAGTTCCGTGCCTGCTATGTTTCGCTCGTAAGACGGATTCAGGAGGGTTGGAGCATCTCCAATGGTGACTTCCCCTTTGGATGAAGAAAATGATCACAATTAAAAAGGAATGTGAACCATGTATGTTTGGTGTAAGTTACTACGATTAAAGAATACTGCGACGGCGAACTTAAGATCCCATCGCCATCGGTGCAAAGATTTGCGCATTGGCTTTTGCGCATTGTGACACTTTGTGAAAATACTTGTTCATCGAGATCCCAGTTTTCAGAATTCACCTCCGAGTTCTGTTTCGGTCACGAGTTCATAATACATGGACATCAGCTCGGTTGCCAAAGACACGCATTTCAATTGGCTTTAAGTATCTAAGGACTTGAAAAATCATTGTAATCACTAAGTTTTAGTGATCAAATGAGCAAAATTTAGTGATCTTAAACAGATTAATAAACGTACCAGTAGGATTGACATCAAGCGGTCCAGAGTCACTGCATGGAGAGTAGTAGACACCTGCAGATCTGCCGAAAAAAAATAAAACGGTGGTACGGTTGCACATTTTTAGATTGATTTATTAAATTACATTTGTTAGCAACAACAAATTCGAACATCAGATTCGAAACAGCCAACCGACCCCACAAGCTCGGTGGTCGAGTGGTAAGACATCTGCACTAGAAAGCAGGAGGGCGTGGGATCAAGTCCCAAGGGAAAAAAAGAACAATTATAGACAAAATTATCCAGACAAAAAAAAGGACAAAGCAGACAAAACCAAATTAATTTATGAAAATAAAAACACACAAAAACTACCGCGGAGAAGGAGCGTCTTTAAACTTTTAGACATTAAATCGCTTGGACAAAAATGGATGTATTTATTCTTTAGAATCTAAAATGCCATTTAAGTTTTCTTCTTTGATCACCTTGTTTCACTCCTCAGTTTTAATTCGGCCGAGGTTTGGCGCGACCGTCGTCTTCGCCGAAACAGCGCCACCAGGAGGATCACCAGCAGCAGTCCAAGAAGTGCTGGAAGCCAGTACTGAATAAAGAGTGGCATTGGTCCTGGTGACGCGGTCATTTGCATCTCAGTTCCACCTGTAACGATGCAAGGATAAATTCCTTAAGGCAAATTGAAACATCACCATAACTCCCTAAATCTTTCTCGGTGACAAACATTTAGGAGATGAACAGTAAACAATAATGGAGGAAGTTGCGCCAAGAGGTGGTGATGCACAACAAGTATCTAGGGCAAAATCTATGCGAAATACTTCTTAAGAAAGAAGTAGACTGACATTTGAAAAAAAAAGACAACATCTTCTGTTTCCTCAAAATAATTCCATTCCAATCAAAACTGGACGAAATCTTTCGCATGCACCATTTTTAAACAGTCGATAAATTTACCCACATCAATAATTGTGATATTTTTTTTGGGGGGGGGGGAGGGGGAGGGGCTGGGGCTGGGTTAACAAAATATCAAAGGTTATCGTTGTTTTTAGGTCGATGAATGTATTCTTTGCGAGGACAGTTCTGTACTACATTGTTAGCGAATTTTGCACTTAACAAGCCTCGGTATAGTTTCAATAATACAGGGTTGTGGAACGCGCATTACGCTTGTGCTGTATTTTCACCAATGAGTAACCAACCTGACATATATATTTTTTTCAAATTGTAAACTGTACTCCCCCCTTATAGTGGAGCTGCTTAGGTCCATTTTTGGCCAAAATCGTGCACTTTGTGGTAAAAGCATGAGATTTGGCATGTGGGGTCAGAATGGGCTAGAAATCATTTTAAGATCGGGACCCATCCTGGATTTTGCCCATTTTGGGGGCGGAGCTTGATTGTTTGAAAAAGGGGTGCAAACAATAAAAACTGTATTTAACATCCATTTCCCTCGTTTTTTCTATGCGTTAAAGTAAGCTTAAACATACAATAAGACATTTTAGCTTGTAAACACCTGTTATTTTCCCCCCATTTTGTGGGCGTGGCCTAAATGTGTAAAAGAGGCGGTATATATTAGCAGTTTGGTTCAAATATGGAAAATACCATTCAGTTTGGTGGTAAAATCTTGAAAATTGGCATGTTTAGTCGAAATGGGCTGAAAATCATTTTAAGAGGTGGACCCATCTTGGATCTTGCCCATTTTGGGGGCGGAGCTTGATCGGTTAAAGAGGGGAGTGCAAACAAATAAAAAAATAGAACTTAACTGTTAACATCCATTTCCCTTTGTTCTTCATGCTTTTAAATAAACAGAGACATGATAAAAACATATCCAACATTCTAACACTTGTTATTTTTTTACCCTTTTGTGGGCGTGGCCTTAATATGAAAAGGAGGCCTCACATTAAAGCAGCTTCATTCAAACGAGGGAAAATCAGCACTTTTGCTGGTAAAACACAAATTCTGCATTGGTTAACTATGTTTGCCATACACTGTAAAGATAAGTTTAAAAGGTTGCAAGGATTTTGCTCTTTTAGGGGTCGAGCTACATTTTTAAGTAGAGGGCTGAATATTCGCATAGAAAGGTAAAATGTGGTAATATTTCTACTGGGTAAACTCTTATTCAAAGTGGTTTCATGTCCTTAGATGTACCTGGTACATACAGCCTAGGCCAAAAAATAGTTCTGCTTCCGATACATGGCATTTGAAAATAGGGTAGGGAGGTAGGGAATTCTTTTGGGGTGCATTCTTTTTGTGTCGATCATACATGTGTAGGTGTCTGCGTGTAGTCCATGGTAAACGGTGGTAATTGATTGTTTTTGTCGGTTAAATTTTCACTGTTCCCAAAACGAAATTAGGATAGGGGCTGTCAAAATAGGCCACGCCCACAAAAGGGTAAAAATAACAAGTGTTTGAAAGTTGGAATTTTTTAAATCATGTCTCTGTTTATTTGAAAGCATGAAGAACAAAGGAAAATGTATGTTAAATACCGTTTTTCTAAATTTTGCACTCCCCTTTTTAACCGATCAAGCTCCGCCCCAAAAATGGGCAAGATCCAAGATGGGTCACCTTTTAAAATGATTTTCAGCCCATTTCGACTAAACATGCCAATTTTCAAGATTTTACCACCCAAATGAATGGTGTTTTCCATATTTGAACCAAACTACTAATATATACCGCCTCTTTTACCCATATGGGCCACGCCCACAAAATGGAGGAAAATAACAGGTGTGTACAAGCTAAAATGTCTTATTTTATGTTAATGTGTGTTTTCAAAGCATTGAAAAACTAGAAAATGGATGTTAAATACAGTTTTTATGAGTTTTTATTGTTTGCACCCCCTTTTTCAAAAAATCAAGCTCCGCCCCCCAAATGGGCAAAATCCAGGATGGGTCCCGATCTTAAAATGATTTCTAGCCCATTTTGACCCCACATGCCAAATTTCATGCTTTTACCACAAAGTGCACGATTTTTCGCTTAGCAGCCCCACTATTAGTAAACCCTACCGGTCCTCAATCCTCCAATTTTAATACGAGTTTGCAAACCCCCTAGTGGGTTTCATTGTTCAACGATGTTATTTCATAAGGACAAACCAATAACGAATTAATACCCTTATAGTATTCCATAGACCCTTTGCAGTGCCCGCCATCTTTGAGACGCATGCTGTTATGCGTTCGCTGTCACTTCATTGATTTTTTTTTTAAACCTCAGAGATGGCTACTGAATGCAAACTGTCTATAGAGCAGATTGTCTTTCATTGTATGCGTTCTTCGTTTGTAAAGAAGTTACCCCTGGAGGGGCGGGGCTATTATGTCTGAGTTACCTCCATCTGTCAGTGTACCCTTAGCCGGGTTGTCAGTCACTTGAGCAGCTGTCACCGCTGTCACTGTCCTTGTCGTTGTCAGTGTCGTTGTCCTACCTTCTGTCGCTTCATCTGTTGTGGTATATGGTGCGAAAGTGGTTGCCTGCTCTCTCGTTGTAGGGGATGTGGGGGTTGGATGGGCTGTTGTCGATGTTGTTGTTGGTGGTAGTGTCGTTGATGTTGGCGCGATTGTTGTAGGACACGGACTTTGCGTGAAATATACTTGTCTGGAATTTATACAGACGATTTTTGTTTTAGTTTATGTTGCTTCATGTCATCTTACATTTGGTTGCAGTGTTAAATAAACACCAACGAAATTGAAATCCTTATTGGATAGACTAGTCTTTCAATGTAGATACCACACGGTGTTTATTAACATGCATTGTATTTGTAGTGTAGTATCAGAGAGAGGCAACAACCCGGGGTCGGGTAGGATACTATAGCTGAGATGACCCTCGTTCCTCCCATACATAACACAAATGTAGAATTTGATTTTTTTTTTTTTTTTGGGTTGTATTTTTGACATCGGTGGATGGGTCAACAGAAAGCAATTATTCACCACGTATTATGCTAAAAATACAAAACTTACCCTTTGTACGATGAGTGCGAAGAACAAAAATCATCAATATGATCATCAGCTGGTTCATATTCGTTGTCGCTTCTTTTTCCATAACCCAATTGTATTTGGCCGCCAGAGGTAATACAAACACATTCGTCCTGCTTTGGTGCATTACAGTTACCATCAAATGATGTCAATGAATAACACTTTCGCATTGGGGTGGACCTGCGTTCTGGATGTACCAATGTGGACAATAGACAAATTAATTATGAAATGGTAGTCATTTATTTGTTCCTATCATATAAATTAATGCCGTGTTTCTTGTACTGCCCTATACTCTCAAACGTTTCCGATTGTTATTCAACGAAAACCCTTTCAAAATTTTTTTTGCGTCTGCAATCCTCCAAAAAGGAGGCTTTTATCCGCTCTGAAGTAGACTGGATCTTCTCTTAAAATCATAATCATTCATGGTCATCCTAATTGTGGTTCATTCCAGTGTGCCTGAAAATCAGTAATGTGTAGCATTTACTTTCTATTCTCTTTCATTTACACATTTATTTTCTCAAATGAATCACAAAGGGAAACTGAGAAGGTGAATTATGACAGTTGTTTAAAAAGTTGAACAAAGAAAGTGACTGGAGCAGGTCGCAGGTTCAAGCCCCGCTCAATTTATTTGTTAAACTTTTCATTTTTTTTTAATGAAAGTAAGCAAAGACATAAAATGGGGCAACGGACCGATGGCGTTTGGAAAATTTCCTTTCCGGTATGTCTCCACGTAGTCTCTTCACTGGCATTTCATGTTTACGAATTGCCATGAAAATTTTTGGTTAGATTGTTCATGTCATCATCCGAAATTATTGATACATTTAAATTGACAAATTTGAAAAATAAATGTTCGATTCAAATACATCTTGTATGAAATTGTCAGTAAAACATGAGTATACATGTACCTGTAAACATGTTTAGATATTGCCCACAATTTGTCCCTGGATTACAACCGAAATCACCACGGCACTCGCCCCTACACACACAAAAAATAGATAAAAAAGACTGTTTAAAACGTCAGTTTTTGTCTATATTTCTATAGCTGTTTTACTACTTTTTTTTTTTTTTTTTTTTTTTTTTTTATATATAATCAACACTTTTCTATGTAATAGTTCATACGACCGGATCTTATTCCCCCATTAATAATGTTGTATCATCCAGTGTGCGCAACTCTCTACCTACAATTCATGTGACAATGCGATCATCATAAAGGCCTACTAACGTTATAAATAAGTTTCCTATGTTGTATCCTATCCTAACTTGTAACTTTAAACATAATATCGACCCTCATCCCCAGTGGTGCATATAACTCTGACGTCATAATGGCGTCATCGGGTGTCCAATTACAAGCGATTAAAAATTTCTGGATTTAATCTTTGAAAATAAATGAAGCTGAACTTGACTTTTGCAGAAATTGATGGAATAATCCAGGATCTTCATTTTATCTCGTGTGTGCCTAATTACGTGTCTCTACCTTTCGGTCCAAACCGGAAGTGCCTTATAATTTGAAAGTGGAAAAGGATGTGAACTTGCTTTCAACCATGTTAATCTCTGGCTAGGTTGAACCATGGAGGAAGGTTACAAAAAAATTACCAGTGACGTCATAAAATGTTAGAGCGCCCTCTAGCGGCGTTTGAAAAATGTTTAAAATGAATAGTCAGTTGATGCGTGTGGCAAAGTTTGCTGAAAACACTTGATGATTACTACTGCAGTGCCCGTTGAAAATGTGTGTGTTTGAAAAAAGGCGGGGTTCTTATTTTGCCCACCATGGAAAAACTGTTGCCACTTTTCATAAATAAATGAAGCTTCCCACAGACGTTTATATTTATGAGAAATAAATCAAAATGTAGAGCCATTGCAAACACACCCTTTTAGGGGCGTGGCAGCCATATTACAAATGGGGGGGGGGGTAGTCATGATGCCCCCATAACAAAATTGTGCTTACCTTTCATAAACGGATTAAACTTCACCACGACATTATATTAATGAGAATGTTTATTTTTCGGATATGGAGACATCGCAAACATACCATTTTAGAGGCGTGGCATCCATTTTTAAAATGGGGGGATAATCAATTTGCCAAACGTGGAAAATGTTGACAACCTTTCATATAATGAAATCACCTTTTAGATAGTTCTTCTTACGTGTTGGAGTAGGGCCGCCTTATGGGTGGAAGTGACTGTTGACAAACCTTTTTTTTTCTTACACTGATGCATTATTGCCTCATCTACCCAGTTACTGGTTCTGTCGTCTGTAGAATTATTGTTAACCTCTCAACTGCAGCATTTTCTGAATTTTGGTGGAAACTAGGGTACCTCAGTTAGTCTTGGAAAGACAACTGATACTTCTCCAAACACATTATAATGTTTCCCATGCCTTTTTTTTCTGACGGAATCAAAGGCAGATGCAGTGTCGCAACCTGTATAAAGTATAGATAGTGTCAGGGCTGCTGATTTTTGAATGGATTTTGTTGGTGTAAAACACTCATCACAGATCTTGATACACCATTTTTAAGTGAACGGAGGGGGTTGTGGAGTTACACAGATTCATGGAATTGGAAGTCATAGTGGACCACCACTTTCCACGGTGGGCATAATGATGTTCTCGAATGACGACTTGCAATGGTTGACAATTGTTGCTTTTTTAAAAGCTGAATACCGTGATTGGTATTGGGAGTCAGGATGACGTAGCGGTTCTTTCCTCACTTTCCACCACTGTGACCCTGGTTCGATTCCTGCCCTGGCCATAATGTGGATGGGTTTTCAGTCCCCACCTGATTGCGTGGGTTTCCCCCAGAATATTATTCGGGTTTTTTCTCCCACCTCTAAAACTGTAATTTCTTCTCATTGTCTTCTCTCTATACAGATTTCTTCAGGCTTGCGAGCTACAGTCAGACCATAGGGCGCTTTTGAGGAATCCTTGGACGGAAAAAATATACAACAATAACATTTTAAAGTATCCTCCCCCAGTCTGATTTCTGGATCCGCCCATGTTCAAACTGAATTTCTTTTTAGCGTGTATAGGCCTACTGTACACAAAGTCATTATAAAAGTGGTCCGTCTGACCGTACATTTTCATGACCCCGGTATACTGTTTCCAGTCATGGTTTCTGAGCAAGTCCCGCAAGCGATATTTTTTTTTACACAACTATCTGGGGTACTTTGTGCGCTTTCCTATGGGGCTTGGTTTTTATAACCAGGCTTGAGTGGAGGCTACTATTTTTCAACTTGGTACGGATTTCGGACTTTATTTCCCTTTTAAAAAAAATCCTCCAGAGCCTCAGATCAGGAAAAGAAAAAGGAAATTGCTGCTATACAAGTAGTATCCGACTGAAAAATAACGTTTTTAAGATTCAACTTAAAATTGTTGGAAAAAAGAGCAAAATCTTCATAGGCAGAGCGAGGAATCGAACTCGAGACCTCAGATTATTAGACAGCATGCCTAACCACTAGGCAACGGCGGTGCTCGAAAAATCCCTGCAATTCATAAATTATATACTTTCACACATGTGGAGAGAGTATACGCGCGCGCGCGTGTAGGTAAAAGGTTACAGGATTGTAGATGCGTTCGATAATCGACGAGCGAAGGCGCGCGACGCCATGTTGTGGGACAAGCGCATATCTATCCATGCACATTTTGTCCCACAACATGGCGTCGCGCACCTTCACGCGTCAATTATCGAACGCGTCTGCAAGCGGTCTATAACCGTGATTCAAGTCGCCTGAAAAATGGATACCCCAGACAGTTGTGTAAATAAAATATTCGCGTCCCGCGATATAAGGTAGGCTACCATTCATAAATGTTTTCAATCGTGTCCGTAGAAATAACAATCGTAGCATTACACGTCTACTGCAATTAAGTAGGAGCCTATGTAAAAATTCATGGTAAGTATGAGTACAGTCGGAGAAAATAGTTTCAAGTTTTACTGCCCGTCAGAAAAGACATGATTCAGTGACGGAGACCGAAAGATGTCTTCAACATGCAAAGATTGGTAGGCGGTAACCAATTTAACTACTCCTGAGATTCGTTTGAAGAAACTGATGAAGAGAACATGAGTTCATTCAATTTATGCATGGCATACAAAGCAACATGGACAATTCTTTAATAGTACTATACTTAAATACGCCATTGGACCCGATTTCACTGCATTGAATTATAAAAAATTATTTCGATTAGTTGTAACTGGTTTAAAATGAATAGCATCAGCCAATGAGATTCACTCATAATTATTGGTGGTAAAAGCGAGTGTGAATATCAACAACCAAATATCAAGCGACACTTAAATTCGTTTTACTCACAAATGTTTACATTAATATTGACTATCAATTGTCGGACAAATCGGTTGTCATGCTTCATACGCTTACCACGGGCAGAAGTTCTGTACTACCGGCGGTACCCATTCATCAGATCCCCGTCGCTTTCGTTTGTTGGCCTGTGAAGTATCCACTGGTTGCGTGGTACTAACCAAAGAAATCACCATCCAAAGAACGATTGTGACGATGCCGCTACCAAACGTGTAGTTCCTGCCAAACAACACCATCTTTATTCCGAGTTACTGTTGACAAACTAACGATCCACCAGAACCAACTAGAGTTTAAAACAGACCGATGTTTATTGCCACGTTTTCAGTGAATTTCCATGACGACAGAGCGTTCCAATTTCTCGATAATTTGAGCTACACATACCAATAATTTTGTGCTTGCTGTATTTGGTATTGATTCATTGTGCTTTGTGTGGTGTTAGTCTGGCTACTGTGTATGATATTCCATGTAATGGTTCCTGTTGAACTATAGGAAATGGTTTAGCTTTCCGGTGTTGGCCATATGATGCATGGTGCTTCCTTCAAAACACGAGTAGGTCAAGCCACAGTCAGGCAGAAGAATGTATATGGTCTTAGGCAATTAGAAATTAACCCTTCTATTTATAGACAATAGACGTAATACAAACAAAATAAGTTAGACGACAAAAGCAATTCACGCATTTCCCATAATTAATATATTAGGGCGCACGACAATTTGTGGAACTTTCAGCAAAAACAGTCAATGATTTCGTACTTTCCATAACTCAGCGGACCGACGACACAACGGCAAAGATACACAAATCCTGAAGATGAATCTGCAGTTTCGTCACGTTTTCAGAATTCGTTGCTCTAGAAAAAGAAATAATTTTGTAAATTGAGACCTACCCATCATTTCCATTTAAGCATTAAAGGGCAAACACCGTGACAATGCAAACTTTCGGTCGCACCTCTATGTTTGGCCACAACCGGAAGGGACCACAGGACCCAGCCTTTGTGTCATGTTAAGTTGCCATGGCATCGCAACGAAGAATAAATTAACCTGTCCTTCAATGAAATCGCTTTTCTATTTTGACAGTTTAGCAGTAGAAGTTTTTGAGCTCTGGAGTAGTCTACTCCGAAACCTTTTCCCCCGTTGTAACGCAGACCTAGACCTGATCAAAGTCGCTTATGCTGTCCATAGCTCCATGACGTACCCTCTATTGAACGTACCTCTTTCGCAAGTCGAGAGCAATATATTAGGACAAACACAAATGTATTTACACGTGTTTTTACGTATAAATTGCAGGCTTAGAGTGTATTGGCTGTGAACCCTGCAGCATATCCGACTTGAATAAAGTCTAAGCCTGTTAAATACCCACAACTTAAAAGATACGCTGCATGCAATAAGCTCCTCTGAAAGTTACACAAGTTAGGTCCGTATTTCATGTCTCCCATGTGCCTACTCCATATATACACTCTTAACAAATAAGAAATATAATACGCGTTCGGCTGATTTTGTTTAAATAAGTACGTACTCAGGCTATATTTACAAGGCAAGTATACGCAAACATACATTCTGTGCAAAGTTGTCTTCCAGTCAAATCAATCAAGTGACTGTTTTCAATAGAACACCCAACCTACATGTATAAAGCTAGATTGACTGGCTGTGACTATTTATGTATATCGATACAGCTATGCTTTGACTGTAGGTGATTGATATTAACCAGCTGTGCCTACTTCCTGCCTGCTTTTGTCTGTTGACTGAATTTGACTAGTCACAGTGCTTGCTTGAAGTATGATCTGACTGTTGGTGATTAGCCTGTGTAAAAGGCATGGCAGGCCGGGCAAGAGGATTGATTTGTTTTGACTGTCTGTGTCTATTCAAACAGCCATGGGCGTCGCGAGGGGGGGGGGGGGGCAAGGGGGGCACTTGCCCCCCCCCCCGGAAAAGCAAAAAAAAAAAAAAGGAAGATAAAAAAAAAAGAACAAAGAAAAAGAGGCGCGAAGACAAAGTGGTGTAAATTTAATGAGTTGGGGGGGGGGGGGGGCAAAATGTCCCTGCCCCCCTCTAAAACTGATAAATCGAGAATGTGTTGAGAAATACAAGCATTTTTTGGCGAACATTTTTTTTGCCCCCCTCTAGAAAAAATCCTGGCGACGCCCGTGCAAACAGCAGCAGAGTTTTTAACAATTAACGTTTTCTGCAATAGTCTTTCCTCGCCTAAGAAATCTATTTACAGCTCAACAACTTTTTTATGGTTTAATATTTGTATTATTACTTCAATAATGACTTGTTATACAAATGTATCAAGAAATGCATGATCCAATCGAAAAATGTCCCGATTGAATTCCACCGATTTGCTCATTTACAATTGATTATTTCCATTTTTCGATTTGTGTCAATGACGCGTTTTTTGTTATATATGTAAATTAAAACAACATACAATCATACATAGAGTACGTAAAGTCTGTCACGATCCAATGTGGCCAATCATGCCGGTGTTTATCTACAGAGAATATTTCTACTCCCCCTGGACGGGATGCCAGTCCATCGCAGATTATCCCCCAGCTGATGCCGGTACCCATACATACTCCTAGGTGATCGAGAGAGGTAAGTGGGAGTGAAGTGACTTGCCCAAGGACACAACATATGGCCAGCAGGTGGATTCGAACCCCTGACCCTCTGATCATGAGTCACAAACCCTAACCCATAGGCCACACTCCCCCACAAATGCATACATAGAGTATAAACGCGATTACTGCAAGATACGATCTTTTGCGTATTAAAGTTTACAGCTTGCATAAATTAACACAATTAATTGAGAACAATATCTAAATTGGCGGTTTTTTTTCAGTTAAAATCCAGTATTTAAGTTACAACCGAACAATACCCTTTAAGGTACAACAGTACTGAACAATACTCTATAATATACTAAGGAAAATGATGTTTTTGTGAGTTAAATTGTAACAAAGCTCTCTCGAATTTTTTTTTTTTCTCCGCCAGAAAGCAAAAGTGCGTGGCATTTTTACAATTTCCAAATTACTCACCCTGTGTAAGAACAAACTGGTTATATCCAAACAAAAGTGCACCTTTAAATGTCGGCGGTAGCATAATGGTGTTGATAAGGATTGACCGGCATTTCTTGATTATTAAGATTTCAGAGAAACAAAGCAAAAACGACAAAATATTTCCCAGCCTTCTTGTTTTATTGCCAATTATTTTCTATGCAGTCATACTTCAGCTGAACTAGAACTCTATACACAAGGTGACAATGACGCTTTCTTTATCTGAAAACTGTCCATTACAAGCAGTACTGTTCTATTTAAAGCAAAGTGTTACCGTTTTTCGTAACATTTACAAGTTTGAAACATATTCAAATTATTATTTTAGAGACTTACGACAGTCAAACTGAATTATATTCATAATGTTTTTGCTTACATTCATTTACAATATGGCTCTTATTTCCTTATATAATCGATGGTTTCAAGTAACAGCGTTTTCTTTGTTTCATCTTTAAAAATGTGAAATTATTGAAATTTGAAAAGTATAATTCTTCGCAACAATCAAGTTTCGTTACTTCTTTAATTGGACAAAGTCCGAAGCCTGCATTTTTGTCTTCAGAATTCATGAATAAAGTATGCATTTTACCTATTTGTGTTTGTTCATCGAATTTTTAATAATGCATTACGAATTTAAAGCAATCTATACAGTTTTCAGCTTGCACAATTTTTATCATGAATTTATGAATAATAATTATGCATTTTACTAGTCATTTTTGTTCATCGAATATTTAAATATGTTTTACTAATGCTGTTGCAAATTGAAGTCTTAATGGTTGGCATTGATGAATAAAAATATAGGATTGCTGAAAAAAAATTGCGCACTTTTATAAGAAAACGTTTATTTAAATTAATGATAAAATTTTATAAAAACAAAATTGACATCATATTCAAAGTTTTTCAACCCCTGAACCATTTAAGCGAACTTTGCGTTTTAAAGGCGCGCGTGTTATAAACCTAAAACACTATATTTTACTTTCAATTCTTGGAAGGAATGTGAATTGTATTGTACTCATTGACGGACATTATGATCGGTACGGTAGGGCTGGTCGGGTACCCTTCTCCCTTATTCCGACTTAGCATTGAGTATTCGCCGTCGCCTTCCTTGCACTGAGGTTGGACCACGTTGTACTGGTTAACTTGGGAGGGCTTCCCTAGCGGGTACCCCGCAGGGGAGGTGTAAGCGTAAGCGTAGTCATAGCGTAGCTTGGCACTTGCGGATGCGGGGGAATTTCCAGGGGAGATGCTTGCCACTTCGTAGCCCGAGTCAGCCCCTGGACTTTTCTCCCCACTGACCGGGCCAAGTACCCCACTACTCTTATCAACCTTTGTGTACCTCGGCGCAGCCTCAAGCTGCCCGGCCGGGTTGATTGACGCTACTTCGTACGAAGTGTCGGGGTTGGGCGATGTCGACAGACTCCCCCGAGGCGATATCGAGGCGACTTCGTAAGCGACCGGGTTGTGTGCCCCCTCAAACGGTGACCTCTGTCCCTCGCACATGGGTTCTTCGTAACCATGCCCTGGCTGCGACTTGGGATTTTTCCGCGGATGCTTTAGGGGTTCCGTCTGACCTCCATTAGGTCCGACAAACCCGCCTGGATTGTCATAGCCAGCGTCTGGTATAGGCGAGTGTTCGCTGCTTGCTTGTTCCGGGGAAACATCGCTGTAGTTGCCCTCTGAGAACGCGACGTTGAAGTTGCCGAGCAGAGCCGGGGGATTGCCGTGAACCTCCCCCGGGTGCCCCGGTGAACGCACCCGGCCCTTGGCCTTTAATTGGTTCGGGGTGTCGCTCATGGGAGGGCAGAAGAAGTCACCACTTCTCTCCAGTTCCGTGCCTGCTATGTTTCGCTCGTAAGACGGGTTCAGGAGGGTTGGAGCATCTCCAATGGTGACTTCCCCTTTGGGAGGAAGAAAATGATCACGATTAAAAAGGAATTTGAACCATTCATGTTTGGTTTAAGTTACTACGATTAAAGAATACTGCGACGGCGAACTTAAGATCCCATCGCCATCGGTGCAAAAATTTGCGCATTAATTGTCTTTTGCGCATTGTGACACTTCGTGAAAATACTTGTTCATCGAGATCCCAGTCTCAGAATTCACGTCCGAGTTCTGTTTCGATCACGTGTTCATAATACATGGACATCAGCTCGGTTGCCAAAGACACGCATTTCAATTGGCTTTAAGTATCTAAGGACTTGAAAAATCATTGTAATCACTAAGTTTTAGTGATCAATGAGCAAAATTTAGTGATCTTAAACAGATTTATAAACTTACCAGTAAGATTGACATCAAGCGGTCCAGAGTCACTGCATGGAGAGTAGTAGACACCTGCAGATCTGCCGAGAAAAATTAAAACGGTGGTACAGTTGCATATTTTTAGATTGATTTATTAAATTACATTTGTTAGCAACAAAAAAATTCGAACATCAGATTCGAAACAGCCAACCGACCCCACAAGCACTAGAAAGCAGGAGGTCGTGGGATCGAGTCCCACCCGAGTGAATTTGTTCAACTTTTCCAATTGACTATACAGTGTTTATAAGTCGGTGAAGGGCAAAACCTAATATTGATTTAGATCACCCCGACGAAAATTTATCTTATGATTAACAACAAAAGGAAAAAAAGAACAATTATTATAGACAATTATCCAGACAAAAAAAAGCACAGAGCAGACAAAACCAAATTAATTAATGAAAATAAAAACACACAAAAACTACTCTGGAGAAGGAGCGTCTTTAAACTTTTAGACATGAAATCGCTTGGACAAAAATGGATGTATTTATTCTTCAGACTCTAAGATGCCATTTAAGTTTTCTTCTTTGATCACCTTGCTTCACTCCTCAGTTTCAATTCGGCCGAGGTTTGGCGCGACCGTCGGCTTCGCCGAAACAGCGCCACCAGGAGGATCACCAGCAGCAGTCCAAGAAGTGCTGGAAGCCAGTACTGAATATAGAGCGGTGCGTCCTCATCGGCTGGCATTGGTCCTGGTAACGCGGTCATTTGCATCTCAGTTCCACCTGCAACGATGCAAGGATAAATTCCTTAAGGCAAATTGAAACATCACAATAACTCCCTAAATCTTTCTTGGTGACAAACACTTAGGAGGTGAACAGAAGACAATAATGGAGGAAGTTGTGCCAAGAGCTGGTCATGCACAAAAAGTATGTAGGGCAAAATCTATGCGAAAGACTTCTTAAGAAAGAAGTAGACTGACATTTGAAATAAAAAGACAACATCTTCTGTTTCCTCAAAATAATTCCATTCCAATCAAAACAGGACGAAATCTTTCGCATGCACCATTTTTAAACAGTTGATTAATTAACCACATCAATAATTATGATTTTTTTTTGGGGGGGGGAGGGGGAGGGGCTGGGGCTGGGTTAACAAAATATCAAAGGTTATCGGTGTTTTTAGGTCGATGAATGTATTCTTTGCGAGGACAGTTCTGTGCTACATTGTTAGCGGATTTTGCACTAAACAAGCCTCTGTATAGTTTCAATAATTCAGGGTTGTTGAACGTGCATTACTCTTGTGCTGTAGTTTCACCAATGAGTAACCAACCTGACATTATGCATATTTTTTTCAAATTGTAAACTCTATTCTCCCCTTAGTTAACCCTAACAGTCCTCAATCCTCCAATTTTAATACGATTTTGCAAACCCCTAGTGGGTTCATTGTTCATCGACGTTATTTCATAAGAACAAACCAAGAACGAATTTATATCTTCCCGACGCAAAACACTTCCCCTTATACTATTCCATAGACCCTTCGCATTGCGCGCCATCTTTGAGACGCATGCTTTTGTGCGTTCGCTGTCACTTCATTGATTTTTTTTAACCTAAGAGATGGCTACTGAATGCAAACTGTCTATAGAGCAAACTGTCTTTCATTGAATGCGATCTTCGTTTGTAAAGAAGTTACCACTGGAGGGGCGGGGCTATTATGTCTGAGTTACCTCCATCTGTCAGTGGACTCTGAGCCGGGTTGTCAGTCGCTTGTGCAGCTGTCACCGCTGTCACTGTCGTTGTCGTTGTCAGTATCGTTGTCCTACCTGGTTTCGCTTCATCTGTTGTGGTATATGGTGCCCGTGTGGTTGCCTCCTCTGTCATTGTAGGGGATGTGGGGTTTGGCTGGGCTGTTGTCGGTGTTGTTGTTGGTGGTAGCGCCGGTGATGTTGGCTCGATTGTTGTAGGACACGGACGTTGCGTGAAAGATCCCATTCTGGAATTTATACAGACGATTGCTGTTTGTACTTTATGTTGCTTCATGTCATTTTCCGTTTTAGTTGCAGTGTTAAATTAACACCATCCATATTGAAATATATATTTAGATATCACGCGGTGTTTAATTACATGAATTTTAATTGAAGTATCAGAGAGAGGCAACAACCCGGCGTCGGGTAGGATACTACATTAAAGATGATCCTCCCCCAGCAGACCAAAAAAACGTTCCAAAGTATTTTTTTGATTTTGTTTTTAAATTAAACTTGGTGGACGTGTAGACAGGCAGAAAATAATAAATATTTACTTCACATAAGAACACAAACTCACACATTGTAGTTTGAGTACGAAGAACAGAAATCGCCGATGTGAGCATCAGGTGGTTTGTCTCGGCCCTGGCCCCGGCGTCCATAACCTATTTGTATTATGCGGTCATCAGTAATACAAGCACAGTTGTCCTCCTTTGGAGCCTCGTCACAGTTCCCTGATTTGTACGAAAAACATCTGCGGGATGGGCCAACCCGAGGGCCGCGATCTGGTTGTACCGATTGTGACAAATGAGAAATCAAATAAGACACGGTTAGCTATCTAAATGCATTCGCCTAATCTGGCCTGTTTTGGCTTCTTATAGAAATAAATGCCGTGTTACTTGCAAATGTGATTTTCTTCTCTTAATTTTTTTTTAAAAGATTTTATTGCATATTCTTGTTAAGGGGCAAAATCCCCTATAATTTTTTCATTCACGTTATTGGCTTTGAAGTGGTCCTGTCGTTTTCAGTGGCGCACCCAGGATTTTTTTTTTTGGGGGGGGCTCAATTTTTTTTTGTTCTTACAAATTTGTTAGAAGTTGAATATTTTTCAAAAAAGTTTGCCCACAATTTTTGGCCGCAGAAAAAAAAAAAAAATTTTGAGGGGCGGCCTATTTTGACGTTAGTGGCGCCACTTACACCCCTATTATATTACTCGAAAACAGGCCACATTCATATCACCAAGGCCAAATCGTGGGACTAAAAAAAAATAAAAAATGACAACCTCTGGGGGGGGGCTCAAGTCCCCGAGCCCCGCCCCCCCCCTCGGGTGCGCCACTGGTCGTTTTCCACTATTTTAATGCAAGTATGCAAATGGGGGGTTATTTTCTTTCCCCAATCCTACGACATAGTCCCTTCACTGGTATTTCGCGTTTGTGACTTGCCAGGAAAACATTTGTAAGATTATTCATAAGATGGAATTTGCGGTGGGGTGATTAAATCAATATTAGGTGTAAGATTCTTCAGTTCATCCTCATAAATGATTTATACATGTACAGTTAAAATTGTATTATTTGACAAAAATGAAAAGCTCAGTCAAGAACAAGTGTACAAAGTTGTCAATTAGGGCGATGTGACTGTGTACCTGTAAATCTTGCTGGAGCTGCTCCACACCGGTTTCCTGGATTACAACCGAAGTAACCCATGCACTCGGCCCTGAAAAATGTGATTAAAAGGACTGCTTAAAAAGGTTAACATGGTTTTCTTAATTTTTGTAACCGTCTTATTCCGATATTATCGACATTTTCAAGAAATAAAGCGTATAGTGACTTGCACAATATTGGTTTCATGTACACTCGCATAATTCCCCCAACGATCAATGTATTCCGCTGACTCTACCTGGCGTTGGAGCTGTTGTGGGGGGAGGATGGGGATGGGGGTGGCAGGGACACCAGCATTCTTTGGGGTACACCAAGGGCTAATCCAGGACATAATTTTCCAGAAAACGAAAAACGGGCGGGAGGGGGGGGGGGGGGGCAGAGGCGGATACATTTAGGTGTTGAGAGTTGCCATTACTAAACAAATTACGTTGTTAACTTACTCTTCCCCCGAGTCCTTATAATCAAGGCTGAGTACCTTTGATGATGGGGTACAATATCGAATAGTTGAGTCCACGTATCAAGTACTCAGCTTCTCGAATTCGAGTCCGATCGAGTATTTGATATTCGATACGAGTGCGAGTATTCTCAAAAAGTACTAGAGTTTTACTCGAGTACGATAATACTACAACACTGACCATGAGTCATCCAATTTTTGTCTGATACACAAAGCAACATGAACAATAATGGCTTGACACTGTAGAATTTCCTTAAAAGTGTCATTGTACCCGTCACCACTGTATTAAATAACAAATCACTTCTATGTAAAAAGCGAGCTTGAATATTAAATATCCAATATCAGGATATAGCGAAAGCAGTATTCATCGTACAAACGTATATGACTTTAATATCGAATAATAATGATCGGATTATTGATTGCCACGTTTCACACACTTACCACGGGCATAAATTCTCCACTACCGCAATTGCCCACTCTGGTGCGCCCCGTCGCCTTCGCTCGTTGGCCCGTGAGGTATCCGCTGGTTGCGCGGTACTAACCAATAAAATCACCATCAAAAGAATGATCATGATTAGAAAAACATGGAGTCCAATGCCGCTACCAAACGTGTAGTTCCTACCAAACAGCACCATCTTTATCCGGAGGTTCTGTTGACAAACTAACGATCCAACAGAACCAACTTTAGAGTTTAAAACAGACCGATGTTTATAGCCACGTTTTCAGTGAATTTCCATGACGACAGAGCGTTCCAATTTCTCGATAATTTGTGCTACATATACCAATAATTTTGTCCTTGCTGTATTTGGTATTGATTCATTGTGCTTTGTGTGGTGTGTTAGTCTGGCTCCTGTCTGTATGATATTCCATGTAATGTTTCCTGTTGAACTATAGGAAATGGTTTAGCTTTCCGGTGTTGGCCATATGATGCATGGTGCTTCCTTCAAAACACGGGTAGGTCAAGCCACAGTCAGGCAGAAGAATGTATATGGTCTTAGGCGATTAGAAATTAACCCTTCTATTTATAGACAATAGACATAATACAAACAAAAATAAGTTAGACGACAAAAGCAATTCACGCTTTTCCCATAATTAATATATTAGGGCGCACGACAATTTGTGGGACTAGCAGCAAAAACAGTCAATGATTTCATACTTTCCATAAGTCAGCGGATCGACGGACACACCGACAAAGAGACACACATCCTGACGATGAATCTGCAAATTTGTCACATTTTCAGAATTCGTTATTCTAAAAAAGGAAATAGTTTGTCAATTGAGACCTACCTAGCATTAAAGGGCAAACACCGTGACAATGCAAACTTTCGGTCGCACCTCTATGTTTGGCCACAACTGGAAGGGTACATAGGACCCGGCATTTGTGTCATGTTTAGTTGCCATGGCATTGTAACGAAGAATAAATTAACCAGTCCTTCAACGAAATCGCTTGTCTTTTCTGCCAGTTTAGCAGTAGCAGTTTTTGAGCTCTGGAGCAGTCTACTCCGAAACCTTTCCCCCGAAGCGGGGTGAACAGTGGTACGAATGCACTACCGAGCACGGAGTTTGAAAAGTCCTCTGCTCCTATACAAATCGTTACCCGTATCGCGTATCGGCTGCTTCTGCCGTGTCACAAGTGCAAAATATATTAAGGCGCGCAGTGACTTATTGCAGTGATTCTGGTATTGTCTATGTTTTTTTCTACCAGTATGGCAATAATCACGATCATAAGTTCAAATGCCAAGACAACCAAATGGCTACCAAAGACCTATTCGCTTTGGGGATACTTGTCATCGCGCTACTCCCCAAAACAGAGTGAAGAGGTTAGGGCTTGCCAGGTACAGAAGTTCCATTTTTTAAAAATTTCCTCCTGGCTTGACGCTAAGAGGTTGAAGGCCGAATGAAGGGGTTGAGTAGATTTAGAATAAATAGAGGTACTTTAGGTCTATGGGTGTAATGGTACATTTAGCTACGCTGCTTTGTACGACTATTTTTTTTTCGGATCTGGGAGGGATAGTGCACCTGAATCGTCGTCAAGCTGTCCCGAAAAAAGGCCTTTCTGAATAAAAAGAATTCCTCCGACCTTCCCTCCCCCCATAAAGCTAGTATTATCATTTCCACCCCCAATTCTTGCAAATCCTTTGTTCACTAAAAGTGCAACAATATTACTACTCCATCCTATCAAGAAAATGGTTTTTAAAAACTAGTCGCGAAAATGAGATCGACCTTTAAACTGGATGAATATTTCATGATTTTGGTGGGGAAAAAACTGCGAATTTTTCTCGAACAGGATACAAAAAAAATATCTTCTCTTACTTCAACCCGGAGTTAATGATCGTCAACAAAATATGTTATTGTTTTCAGTGAGACGGAAATGACAACTGCTTAACCATTCGAAACATTTCTCTGAATTTACATATAAACCTACGTCCGATTGTTGCGAGTTGGTTTCCCTTCGCGTCTTTCATTTTCACCATTTCCCGAAAAATCTTTCCCAAAAGTGAACGAGGAAATAAACTTGCCGTTATAGCTCATCAGTATTGAATTTTAAAACCCTGATATACAAGAATTTAGAATTGTTAATAAGTAAGACAGTCTTGTGAAGACGGACAGAGCCTGTCTGGAACGTCGAGTTACAAAAAACAGCTCTTTTCAGATCCATATAGTCATCAAAAGTTTTGGCTACACGGTGCTACTGCAAACCTCACATCTCTCTTATAACTCAACTGTTGTTGATCGGATTTTTTTTTCAAAAGAAATTGTTCAACATTATTCTTTTGGGCAGGGAGGTCTTTTTCAGTAGTGTAGATTAAAGATAATTAGTGTAACTAATTTACCTTATTATTATTTCTAAATCGTGCAGTGTACATTTTATTTCTTAGTTACACGCTTTAACACATGAGTTTTTGGCACTAAATCTTGCTTTATATGAGAAGAGATATTTTCTCGATTTAGACAATTATTTCAAATTCAAGTCGAGAACCGGAATTTAATACAATACATTTGTTTTCTTCTAGCTTTCTGAGTGTTTATAGTTTCCTAAATATACCTCCAAATTACATTGGGAACCCATCACTTAACAGTGCACTGAATGACCGTATATCGTACAAGTTTACATCAGATTAAAGACATCAAAGCTGATACAGTTTTCATGAGATAAGGGGTTTATTAAAGCTTTTGGCTGAAACATGTAACATCAAAACTTGGACAAGCAAAATATAATGGTTCCGTCTGCAGACTGTGGTGAATTTATACTTGCACCTTGCATCTATTCGTGTTGTAATACAACGCCAAGTTGACACTCAGTGGTTTGCTTCATTACCAAACCTCTTTGACCAACTGAGAACCGTAGCCCAAATACGAATAGTTGCTGTTTCATTTTGTGTACGTGACTCATTCGATCGTGATATTCGTTTAGCTTGGGCTTGAGCCAACACTATAAATGTACGTACATGTACATGAACAAATCAACAGTGTGACAGGAAAGAGTCAGTGTTATTTTAGGAATATCAGTTCCTTGTGGTTGACAACGTAGCGTGGGCCTACTGGAAATGAAAACACTACATTTTGTTTCACTTCTTCCTCATTTCACGTCAACGGATTTTCTCTCGAATAGTTGACACAAACCAACATGTAACAAACTTATCATGCACATTAAATAAGGGCATGTGGTACAACATAAAAAAAAATTGCATCTTCAAAAGCAACACTTAAATAACAGCTGATTATAAAACGGGGCCAATATAATGTCATCGTTGTAACGCAGACCTAGACCTGATCCAAGTCGCATATGCTGTCTATAGGTCCATGACGCACCCTCTATTGAACGTACCCCTTCCGTAAGTCGAGAGCAAGATATTAGGACACACGCAAATGCAAGACCACGTGTTTTTACGTATAAATTGCAGGCTTAAGGTGTATTGGCTGTGAACCCTGGAACATATCCGACTTGAATAAAGTCTAAGCCTGTTAAATACCCACAACTTAAAAGATACGCTGCATGCAATAAGCTCCTCTGGAAGTTACACAAGTTACGTCCGTATTTCATGTCTCCCATGTGCCTACTCCATATATACACTCTTAACAAATAAGAAATATAATACGCGTTCGGCTGATTTTGTTTAAATAAGTACGTACTCAGGCTATATTTACAAGGCAAGTATACGGTAAACATACATTCTGTGCAAAGTTGTCTTCCAGTCAAAATCAATCAAGTGACTGTTTTCAATAGAACACCCAACCTACATATATAAAGCTGGATTGACTGGCTGTGACTATTTATGTTTATCGATACAGCTATGCTTTGACTGTAGGTGATTGATATTAGCCTGGTGTGCCTACTTCCTGCCTGCTTTTGTCTGTTGACTAAATTTGACTAGTCAAAGTGCTTGCATAAAATATGATCTGACTGTTGGTGATAAGCCTGTGTAAAAGGCATGGCATGGGAAGAGGATTGATTTTTTTTTACTGTCTGTGACTGTTCAAACAGCAGAACAATACATATTTTCTACAATTGTCTTTCTTCGCCTAAGCAATCTATGTACAGCTCAACAACTTTTTTTTTTGGTTTAATATTTGTATTATTACTTCAATAATGACTTGTTATATCAAGAAATGCATGATCCAATCGAAAAATGTCCCGATTGAATTCCACCGATTTGCTCATTTACAATTGATTATTTCCATTCTTTCGATTTGTGTCAATGACGCGTTTTTTTGTTATATATCAAAGTAAATAAAAACAACATACAATCATACATAGAGTAAGTAAAGTCTGTCACGATCCAATGTGGCCAATCAGGCCGGCGTTTATCCACAGAGAATATTTCTACTCCCCCTGGACGGGATGCCAGTCCATCGCAGGTTATCCCCCAGCTGATGCCGGTACCCATACATACTCCTGGGTGATCGAGAGAGGCAAGTGGGAGTGAAGTGGCTTGCCCAAGGACACAACATATGGCCAGCAGGTGGATTCGAACACCTGACCCTCTGATCATGAGTCACAAACCCTAACCAATAGGCCATACGCCCCCACAAATACATACATAGAGTATAAACGCGATTACTGCAAGATACGATCTTTGGCGACTTAAATTTTACAGCTTGCATAAATTAACACAATTAATTGAGAATCTAAAAATTAATGTGGCCTGACGTTGCGAACTTAGCAAGTTCTTCTTCAGAGGCTAAAACAGTTCTGTTTTAGCCTCTGAAGAAGAACTTGCTAAGTTCGCAACGTCAGGCCACATTAATTTTTAGATTTATATATTTCAGGTCCACCCAGTCAGTAAGCAGTTTGCAGCAGTCTTACTTTTTTCACAATTAATTGAGAACAATTTCTGAATTGGCGGTTTTTTTCAGTTAAAATCCAGTATTTAAGTTACAACCGAACAATACCCTTCAAGGTACAACAGTACTGAACAAGACTCTATGATATACTAAGGAAAATTATGTTTTTGTGAGTTAAATTGTAACAAAGCTCTCTCGAATTGTTTTTTTTTCTCCGCCAGAAAGCAAAAGTGCTTGGCATTTTTACAATTTCCAAATTATATACACAAAGAGAGTGATTAAACTTGCATGCTGCATCCAATTTGTCAAAGTATGCTCTTCACATTGTACAATTTTAGAAGATTTTATTTGAGGTAATGCCTTTTTGCTAAATTCCCACTGCTCATCATTTGGATCTCAGTCCCCTATATAGGTGTAAGGGCGTCTGCTTTTCTCTACAATTATTTATTCTTCAAATGCAAAAGGTAGATGGAAGATTTTCGGTTTGCTACTTTGCCGAGGTTTCACGCTCAGCGCTGCCAGATCGTGCAGAGACCTTTTTCCAGAGAGGTCCACGGTCAAGCTGGCTGTAGTTACCGCCCTTGTTGTCTTTATCGTGGGTAAGCCAGCGGGGGTTGTCAGCGCCAGCCTGCGGTAGTCTAGTGGCTGGATTCTCGCTGGTTGCTGGGAATGATCCATTCCCATTATTGTCGGTGCTGCTCCTAGCTTCGTCTGGCTCGGCTGTGTGCTCGGCTGTGGGAGGCTCCAAAGTGAAGTAGATGGCTTGGTCTGGCTTGGTGTCAGCCTGAGATGGGCCCGCGTGTGAAGGAGCAGTCGGACTGCCATCCGAACTCGATTGGTGGGCCTTGTCGATGTCCAGGTTGTCGACATCTGTGAAGCCATCGGGAGGATTCAGTGATGGTCCTCCGGAATCGACGGCGACTGGAAGAGAGACTTCGCCTGGTTGCAGTGAGGAGTCGGGAAAGTCGACATCCACGTAATCAGTGGTCGACGGTTTATCTTGCGGTGGGAAGGAGGGGGTACATGAGACAGGATTTAGTTGTGAGGTGTCAACTTGATTGTCGGTGCCTTCAAAACCATCGCTGTCGTCCCGGGACGAACTTGGAGATCTACCAAGGAAACAGGGATCAGAATGGAGGGATCTCGATAGGATACTCGTATCTGAAGGGTCGACATCAACTCCATCAACAGTACCATCTGATTGGAGGTTCGCATCAACTGGAGATGGTTGAAGTGGAGACTCTGGAAAGTCGACGTCGACATAGCAATCAGAGAATTGACCTCTGCTCGACGTGGAGAGGATCTGTGTGGTCGCAATGACAGGAGATGGTTGAAGAGGAGACCCTGGACTGTCGACATCGACATAACCATCAAAGGATGGACCACGGCTGGACACGGGATGTATCTGACCCCGGTTGGACGATTGAGCGAACTCTGGGGTTGACACTGGTTGCATTGCCCCTGGACTGTCGACATCGACATAACCAACAGAGGATGGACCACAGCTTGACGCGGGAAGTATCTGACCACGGCTGGACGATTGATCGAACTCTGGGGTTGACACTGGTTGCATTGCCCCTGGACTGTCGACATCGACATAACCATCAGAGGACTGACCACGGCTAGACAATTGGGGGATTTGAGGGGTTGAGCTTGGCTGCAGTGCCGAGCCAAGACTGTCGACATCGACATACCCACCGGATGATTGACCACAGCTCGACGCAGGAGGGATCGGTTGCTGTTTCGCACGAATACGGGATCTATCGGAAATGCCCCGTGGGACATTATTATCCGCATTAGCTCTGACTTCAACTCCTGCTCCGACAATCTCACTGACTTCTTCGTACGGTCTCACGTAGTCATCTTCTTCAACAGGATTTGGTAGTGGACGATCCCGTTGTCCATGTCCGCGGTTGCCGGCAGGCTCCTGCAGCTGTGCAGGCACGCCGTCGGTCTTGGGGTTGTACTCCACGTACCCATCCGAAGTTTTACGGATCATAGCTGGTTGCGGCGGGACGACGGGAACGAAGCTGCGGTTGTCATGACTCAGCCCGAGGACGCCCACAGCTATTTCATCATCGTAAGTCCGGTTTGTAAACTGTACAACTGGAAATACACCATTTTTTGGAATATATTAATTAAACTTTGTTTGGGGTGGTGTAAATTCAATATTAGGTTTCGCCTTTCACCGACGTAATTTTTGGCAAACTCCGTGGTCGACTGCTAAGACGTCTGCACTATAAGCATGCAGGTCGTGGGTTCGAGTCCCGACAAGTAGTTTGTGAGCCTTTTCTCGCTCCGGGAAAAAATACGTCGGTGAAGGGCAAAGCCCAATATTTAATCTATTAATATGTTTAAAGGTACTCTACGTTGCCAGTTTTATAGTGTCAATAATTAATTGTTATACTTGTGTATAAAATTACCTGGACAATGGACCGTTTCAATCGGCGGGGGAGGGCTCATTGGGAATTTAGAATGTTTTCAACAAGTAAAAGTTCAATGATTCGAAAAATTTGCCTTATCTTTTTCAGAGAGCACCATTCCATACAAAATACCAGAATCCAAAAAGGTCAAGGAAAACTTAGTAGCTATTAAACATAATTATGCTAGCGCTTCTAAATGTCACCTCTTGTTGCTTGACCTTTAGCCTTTGACCTGTGCACTGGAGAGCCACGTTCAGACACCCCCATGTATCCTTCATCGTCCCAGTTTACGCTGCCAGAGGAAAAAGAAAAAGTATAAAATAGGAAATATCTACAAAGAAAACCACACTTAAAATGTACTAACATGAAATAATGAATAGCTGCGTTGGGCATCAACTTTTATCTTTCTTTTCCCTTATTTTTCATTTCTCTTTCCTTTCCTTTTCGTAGTTAATTGCTTGGGAAAGCCAAGACGTTGGAGAGTTCTTTTTAATGTCTCTTTCTTTTTCTTCTCGTCATTTAACTGGAATAGGCATTGAAATTTCGATTGATGGTTTGGTATCTCACCCTTGATGAAGGGACTGCTCCTGCCTCCTACGTCGACACAAAACGGCGAAAATTGCGCATATCGCCAGAAAGATCCCGATTCCTACCACGAGAACCCCGATCAGAATCGGAAGTATAACTTTCGGTTTTGTAGTTGCTGTCGATATCAAAAAAATGACATACGATCAATTAATTGCAGATAAAGTCACGTGTCAAAAGAGGGCCTGAGAAAAGAAGATGATTTCAGGTGAGGTTAATGCCAAGGCAGACAGGTAATGAGACGTTGGGGTTATCGGGGAATAGAAGCTGGGTTACAATATACCCTTCTTCAAAAGTTGAATCATAGCATTACACTGCAAATTCCAGCAAGTTAACCACCCAACCAGCAAGAAAGCAGGCCGGCCTGCCAGCCAGTAAACCAGTCCACCAGCCAGTTAACCAGTCTACCAGCCAGCCAACTCGCGAGCCAGTCGGCCAGCCAGCTATTACCAGTCAGTCTGCCAGCCAATCAGCTGGCAGCCAGCCAGCAAACCATAAATTGAGCTACTACCCAGCGAGCCAACAAACCAATCAACAACCAGCCGGCCGGCCAGCCAGCCAACCAGCCAGCAAGCATGCTGAGTCAGCCACTCAGCCAACCATAAACAAACGGGAACCACACAGAAAAGGTAAAGACACTAACCTGTTGGACTTCCCCCAGCAACTGTCATCTGCACCGGAGTGGGAGTCACTGCAGTAGTCGTCCATCTAAACACAAACAAACATCCCATTCCCATCAAGTAATGCAAGAAAGAAAGCTGCAGATTACTTATTTCACTTCTCTCAGAGACACATTAATGAATGGTTCTCTATCTCTCTCTTTCGCTCACAAAAATAGTCTCAGGACCGTCACATTTAAATACGAAATTATGCATGGCTATAGTAAAGTGACTCCCATGTACATTGCAAATGGCTCACTAGTTAGCAGTATTTCCTCGTTTATCGAGGATTGATGTGCATCTTGGAAGGCGACACATGCACACAGCACGTACGTGTGTAAAGAAGAAGGGTGTTTGCAAGAATGATATTAACCAATGATGGAGATTTTCTCTTTGATGATGACCAACAAGAACGTAACAAGTTTGCGGTCCATTTTTTCCCTGTTCCTGTTACATCTAGTCTGAATCTGTTATTTTTTAAATCCGATGCACTCCTTTAAGGGAAAATACAACTTTTGCAAACATCAAAAAATAAAACTACCGAATCATTTTGAAAAACCTTGCTGGACTGTTAGTGAATTACAGTGTAAAGCATCCTTTAAAATCATGGCACCTGGTATACTGTCATTTTCAAGAAAAGTGGTATTTTTGTATCAATTTCCAACGCTGGTCGGCCGACCAGCGTTGGAAAACACTGGCTTTTTTTTCAAATACTGGCCCCAATTGACCATCGCACTTGTTTGCAATCGATTACACACCTATGAACGGGTACAAGCCAGCTAGACTGGTTCCCTGACCTTACAATTCCCCAATGTATGTAAACTGCTCTGTTTCTTCTTATATGGAGTCAGGGAACCAGACTACAGGAAAATGATTGTTTTTCTTGGTTTTTATAGCATTTTCGAACCCAAAACCTCAAAAAAGTCAGTGTAACTATATTTGCTATATATTTCCAACCCCCCAATTCCATCCATTTCTGAAAATTACAGCAAAAGCAAATGATGTATATTCCCTTTAAATGCAGTCTTCCTCCCAACAGTGAACTAAATATCCAACAAATAAATAATTGTTTGAAGTCATTCTTTATAATACTCGAATGGAAAATTACAAATTACCAAGCTAACATAGACATGAAAAAGGTCAACCGTTGGAACCTATCTAGAATGACCCTCGGCCTGGTCTATAAAATACTGCCTTAACCTTTACAGCAATACTCACCTCTGCTGCGTCGTAGATTGAATTGTGGATTCCGATGAAATTGTGGGTTTGGGAGTGCTCGTTCTTGGGGCGTTCGTTGAACGCCTACCTTCTTCCGAAGTATCGGTTGTATATTCGAGAGTTGTAGCTTTGTGTTCGTCTTCACTGTGAAGATTAAGGAATAATTGTATTCATCCTCCTTTTATGATTTGTGTATACTTAATTAGGGCTTTACTGGGAAATGCGCTGTTTAGCGTGTGGTGAAATGTGTTATACTGTGGCTATTTTGGTTCACCGGCGAATTTAGAATTTTTCCGGGGGGGGGGGGGGGGGTTCTTCCATTGGGGCATAAGACCCGAGAGCATGTTGACAGGATTTTTTTCCCTCGGACAACCGCCCTCCGCCCTCCACAAAATCCAAAGCGGGGGTTATTTGGGTGTTCAAAGCTGACTATAATGGACAGTATCGGACAATAGGTGACCCTCTTAACCCATCAAAGTTGCCGACGGACACACGATTTTTGCCGACAGGACAACGATATTGCCTACAAAAACAATTACTAGAAATAACTACGGGTAAAGGTGTTTTTTTATGGGGGGGGGGGCTGTTTCGACGCCGGGGGGTGGGGGTTAGAGGTTCTCCTCAATACTTGTTCCCGATTCCGGTTCCGGTACTAAGGCACATATTCCCTCAGTAGCTTTGGGATCAAAACTAGTCAAAAGCCCCACTGCAGAGTCTCTCTTCTGGAAAAGGGTTTAACCCCCCCCCCCCCCCCCCCCAGTTTTTCCTCATCCATTTTGTTTTTGCTGGACCGAAGGCCCAGCCTATTGTCAACTGACTGGCTCTCACTGAATCACTGACTGACCGGCTAAGTAGGCCTATAACTGACGTAGTCACCGAGTTTGAATACACATTGATGACACGTTCAGGTCTAGCTCTCCAATGACCTGACAGAGAATCTGCTTATACGTTGTAGTGGTTTAGGCTTTGTCAAAAAAGGCAATGTATTGCTTAACTTTGTTTTGAATAAATAAATACATATTGTGGTGTTTCTGTGTAATCTGTAATTTGTGCCGTACTTTTATGGACACTTCATTTTAATTAGCTCATTAATTGGGACGATTGTGTTTCTTACCGAAAACGTCCTGTATTAGAACTGATACATTTTTTGTTACCTTAAAACACAGAGGGAAAAACAAATTACTCACGAGCATTCAGTGGTGATGCTACATCTCAGAAGAAGAAGGCTACACTCTAAAAAAGAAGTGTAAATTTATGTTGTGTAAAACTGTTGTGTAAAAAAATTGTGTCATTTCTGCTCAATATTGAGCAAAACAAAAATTTCGCTTGTACCTCCTTCTTGTGTCAAATGTGTTACACACGAAAAGGTAAAATAATACCCAACATTGACTACAAGTCCCAGCAGCACAGGAAAAAAAGTTAAAATCATGGTATTATTACCCAAGTGATGGGTTAAAGAAACTGAATTTACCCCACAACTGTGTAACAATTCTCAGTTCATTGAACACGTCGAAGAGTAGAATTTACCACGACATTAGTAAAATGTTACCACGGTGCGGGGTAAACTGACGCACCGTGACAACGTTTGCCCAATATTGTGCACGCGTATCACTCATGTACAAAATGGCCGCCGCCTGTGAGACTCACAATTTGGGGATTTTGAAGACGAGATTTCTTTGTTCCAGATAAGTCAGTGAAATGAATTTCAGTGTTGTTTCCTCCAAATGGGATGCTGATGTATGAGGATTAATATCGGAGAGATTGGAGAAGTGACATGCTTATTATTTAGACATTATTTGCAACTTGAACGTCACGGCTCTGCCATGCACATGATGCATGCATTTCATGCACCGTATAGCGAGTGTTATCAGATCTACAAACACGCAGTAAAGTGACCGACATTTGGGGAATTGTTTTTGAATGAGTTGATTGAGGGAAATTCTAACACCCCTGCCCATCATTTAGCCCACGTTCCTCGTAATAGTCCTCATGCATCAGCACCATATTTGGGGAAATATCATCTGATTCATTTTACTGACTTTCCAACCCAGGACTCAGTTATTGAAATCACTCGCGATTGCTGGCTCTAGCATGCAATTCACATTGCAGAGTTCAAAGTTGAATAAAACCGCAAGGGTCAATAACAAAGGTACACAACAACTAATTTAAAAAAAACCCAAGTGATGGGTAAATTTAGAACCCAACAATGCAGGGTAAAAATTAGAACCCAACTTCTGGGTAAGAAACTGACACAACACTTGGGTAAAAGGAGGGTTGGGTAAAGTTTACCCAATAATTGAGTAAAAAGGGAACATGGTCGTCACATGGGTAAACTTTCTTCCCCAACCTTGTTGTGCAAGCACGTAACACAATTATGGGTAAAAGTTACACTGAAATGGGTACTTTTCTACACTTTAGCTGTTGTGTAAAAAAAACTACACAAGTTGACGACCATGCTCCCTTTTTACTCTCGAAAAGGTAGTAATTTTACCCAATATTGAGCAACTATTTTTTAGAGTGTAGGCTTATTTGTTTGCAGTGTGGTTGAGTTTTGGCAAGTTGGATTTTCTGAAGCGTATTTAAAATAAAAAGTGCTTAAATATCGGCTCTGTAATGTATACAATCTTGGAGCAACTGAAAAGGCAAGACAGGTCCCGAATTTATAAATCGATATACACTCTAAAAACTCCGGGGTCAAATTGACCCCGATATGAGTCTATATCTGCACAGTCCTTTTCAAGGTAAAAATATTACGCTTTTCTAGGTCAAAATGATCCAGAGAAATGTCATTTTGGACCCAGAAAAAAATTCATTTTGACCAGAAAAGAGTAAATATTGACCTGGAACAGGGCTGTGCAGATATAGACGCAGATTCTGAGTCAATTTTGACCCAGGAGTTTTAACAGTGTAGGGTAAAAAAAAATCTTTGAACATTAATTCCCAAAATAAGGACCATCTCTTGTTCGATATGCCAGGGTTCTATATTAAACTTAGAGAGGATCAGCAGTTCAGAGGTTGTTCTAGAAACCGAAGATTTGGAAATATGCCCTATCCTCACAAACAGAGTGACTGTAATCTCTCTATTATTTGCTGATTATGCCAGAAATAAAAAAATCAACAAACTGTCATAAATTATGATAACACTTTTACCAAGTCCAGGGTCACCAGACCTCTTTGCTTCACATTCACCATCCCTAAAATTTAAATGTGAAAACAGAAATAACCCATCAATAGTGTCATGGCGGCGTCTCACTTGAAACGACGTATTTACAGTGGCGTTCCGTTTTTAAACGTCTGGGGTACCTGGGAGTGAATTTTTTTTTAACAGGTGGGGGGAGGGGAGCCACTAAGGGCAAATGACGTATAGTTTAGTTAAATTCGAGATTTTAAATGGGGGGCACCCTGGGCAGGGACCCGCTCCTCTCTCCGTCCCCCTCTCCCCCTCCCCTCCCCCGTAGTTACAGCACTGCTTTAAGTAAGAATAGACCTTTCTTTTGTTTGTAAACATTGGCGCCATTTTATATGGGCTGCCGCAAGCGCATAAATTGAAGCCGTGGTTGGCAACATATTTTTTTTCCAAAAAAGTCCCCATAACGCCCTCAATACAAAGTAAAAAGGCATGTTTAGGAATAATGTTGTAGCTTTGTTGACAATGTTGTTTTTCCAACAATCAAATAATATTTTGGTTATCTGTAATAACTCTTCTTCATTTTTGCAGTGTTGGACCTTCCATAGTTTTGCAACCCGTGGTTGGCAAAAAAAAAACAGTTTGCCAAGCGTAGAAAGGTCTATACAATTTTATTATTACGACTCTCGACTGTCACGATGCAGGTACAATTTGTATATATGACAGCAAGAGTGGTCGACTTCATATAGGAGAGCTTAAATTATGCCTCGGACAGTTACCCCTCCCATGCCTTTTAAACAATGTCTTTATAGACTTGTAGATTTGTTTTTTATTTCTTAAAGGATTCCAATGCCGAACTCTGGTTCCGTTGACAGTCTTAAAATGGCCTCACTCCAAAATAGTGTCGCAATAGTGCCGCCTATCATTCAACGTCATGACAGAATCAGGAACCAATGATTTCTTTTACAGCATCAGATTAAAAACGAGAATATTTTAGTCTCTTAGAAAACAAAAACACTTACTCCCCGTACAACGACCAGCAGATAGAGTTACACGTGGAAGGAATGCCTGAGGGTGGAGGTATGCACATGTTTGTCCCACTTTCCTCCTTGTATGCGTGCACTGCTACCTTTATTATATTCTTATCTGTTCTTACTGTAACTGAAAAGACAATTAAAACAGAAAGAAATAAACTTGACAAATATCAACAACGCAGAAAGGTAGGGATAAGGCAGTATCTCGTGGGAATTATCCATCCAGGCGATGAAATTTTATACCATATATTAATTATACGCTGTTTTGTATTTGTGCCATGATGTAAATGGTACAAATATGGGCGTCGCGAGGGGGAAAGCCCCCCCCCCCTCCGGAAAAGCAAAAACAAAACAAAAAAAAACAAAAGAAAAAAGAGGCGCAAAGTCATAGTGGTGTAAATTTAATGAGTTGGGGGGGGGGAATGTCCCTGCCCCCCTCTAAAACTGAGAAATCAAGAATATGTTGAGAAATACAGGATTTTTTTGGGGGGGGGAAATAAGTTTTTCCCCTCTAGAAAAAATCCTGGCGACGCCCATGGGTACAAAGACTCTTCAACTTCCAATCCCCATTACACTTAGGCTCTTTGATTTTTTTCTTTTCTATATTCAAATTAAAAGTGAAACGAGGATTTGAAAGGCTGATAATTGGAGAAGACAGCGGTTTTTTTCATGACCTTATGATTCGGTATGACATTGACTTGTTCTTAATATCACAAATGTTGTCCATCGTCTTCACGCAAAAAAAAAAATAAGAAAAAAAAAATAACTGCCTCTTCGTTTATTTTGGGGAAAGGGGAAGGGGAACTATTTTCCTTGCTTGCTTCCATTATCGTATTTCTTTTTAATAAACCGGTGAATTAATGTTACTTATTAATTTGTTACATGTACTACAGTCTCATTCCCCCAGCGTTCGATCCTGCATGCTACGCCTGATGTTGCTGCCCACAAATACGTGTTGATCTCATGTATTTCGAAATTTAAATCTGAGACCATTGAAAGAATTTAGTTAGGGATTACAGATTTTTCCTGCGTGCGCATTCTTATAAATGTGTACTGTCTCTTCCTTCTCTTCATCGAATTCGGTGGTTTTTTTCTCCTTACAAAATAATGTTCAACTTGTTCGTCTTATTTAACAACAAAACTACCAACAAAACTCAATTTTGGGGTCTTATTTTAATAATAAAAAAATTATGTTTTGGGGTAAACCTCGATAATAGCAAGGATTGCAGTAGAACTAATCTTTCGAACCATCCATAAGACATTCGTATAGAATGAACTGCGCGTCCGCGTGTGCTCATTGTCATTTTCTTAATATAGTCCGCGGGATGGGGTCGTATCCTTCCCTGATAGTTATACCAATGAGCCAAAAAATAAATCCCCTTTTTCAGACTTTGTGCTGTATCGTTCCTACCATTGACTTGGAACTCCAATTGACACATCGCGTCACTAAGTTGACTGCATGTCACAACTGGATCACTGAAAATAAGATTAAAAAAAAAAAGATAACAAAATGTGTTCATTTCGGTAGATATCTTACCATTATATGCCGCTCAGTTATACAGTTCCTTTAGCAGCCACGTTAACCCACTCTTATATTCTTTTACATTTTAGTTTGGTTCAATTTTTTTGATAATAGTATGGTAAATATCAATTAAGGGAATAACAATTTGAAAATCAATATTATTGTGGTGATTTATTGTGGTGATTTTAAGGGACAAACTCTTTCTCTTGAGTGATGAGAATAGAATAAACCTATAGATTGTGGGTGCGGGTAGGGTAGGGAGGGATAGAGTTGGGGTAGGGGGAATTCGATTACTTACCAAGCTTCCACACACTGGGGCGATGGTGAACAATGCGCTGGTCTTTGTCTACATGTACGTAATCAAAAATACGCTCCTTTCAAACGTGTAAATACTTGTTATGATTTATTGAAATTATATCCAACACTTACAATGGTTTCCAAAGTTTTACTGAAAAGAGGAAAGCAGCTTTGCCCAACATGTCCAAAACTACAACAACTACTGTTTGTTGCAAGAGCTCTTTAAAAAAGGTCATTTTGAAATCCGAGTAGGAAAGTTTCTCGGAACCTGCCCTTCCAAACATTGCAGAGTATAAAGTCTAATATTTGTTAACTCTCCTACAGCAATGGTGAAATTTCAGTTTGTGAGTATTAAATTTGGCTGGACCATTACTTTTGCCTTTTTTTGTTTGTTTATATTTGGCCTGTAATAATGTGAAGTTTTTAATGTTTTTATATTGTAACATTCTTGCGATTTGGCCTGAGGGCCACGAGTTGAATGAAAATAAACCTAAATGAATAAATAAATTTTTAAAAATAAAAATAATTATTTTGTTCCCCTGAATTATTTTTCTTCGGTTTTCTTCCCATGCCTGAATAGAACTGATATTTTCCACCCCGTAAAAATACCTGCAAATTGAGTGAGGAAAGTTTTATGACTATAACATAGAATATTCACAAGCAGTAACTGAAAGGTCGCTAGACATGTTTCTAATGTTTTCTGCTAAATTATAACATCAACATGTTAAACTTTCAATTTTAATCATTACCGTGTAGTCAACTACTTTGGTTTAAAAAATCTGCTTAATCATACACACGCAGTAATTGAACATAAGAATGAATGGACAATAATGATCAATAAAAGTAATCACACTGTTTGATTACCCCAAACACGTTCCTCGTAGAATGGCGGTTTTTTATTTCATTTTGAAACTATATTGATATTAATGTCGGATATTAAAGTAAACTTACTTTGGTGGATCAGTGCTGTGGTTGCCGCCCTCCATTCCAGCTATACCGCAGACAAAAAGAAGAAACAACACTCCAAAAACCAGGGAAATAGAGGCCATGATGTCAGGAGATATGCCTGCTTACTAGATGCAGATGTTCAATCCGTTATAACGTTTTTCCCCACATTATATTCAGCCTGACCACGCAGTAGATTTATTTGAAATGTTTCCTGGTTTTACTTTTCACGAGTTCCGTTTCGTTTTCGGTTTTTAGTGGGAAAGAGTTTGTTTATGAACACTTGTGTTGGCAATCTCGAACCACAATGTCGACTAATGGTTCCTATAGGTAATTATACATTGTTTTTTGAGGAAGAATATGTAACATATTGAACAAAACTATGACAAAATCATGTAATCTGCAATCATCGATATAACTTTGAAACGCCCTGACAAGAACACGATTTCTGGTTGGCGGAAAACTTATAAACGCTTCATTTTGCGCAAAGAACAAACGTAGCGTACTATAGTCAGGGGAGAAACATTTAACAACCAAATTGAGATTTTTCCGTTCATATTTTGCTTTGTGATTGAGAGTCAGTATTTCTTTAGATTAAAACAATTCTCCAGATGAACACAATTTCTTTCTTTTTTCAGAAATACCTTGAATAATGAAACAATGAATCAAACGCACCTTTAATATTTCCTTTTATTCATATCAAATAAAATGTACATGTATTTCGGTTCTGTGTATATGCACCATGTTTTATGTGGTACAACATTTCTCATTCTGGTTCTTTTAAATTGACTTAAAGCAAACAGTGCCATAAACACTGCGCATCATGCACCTTTAATATATAGGTTTGTTTCTGTAACCTTTATTCATAACAAAACCTTTCTGTTCATATTAATATTCGCAGTTTCATTTTAAACATATGCAAAATATGGTTCTTCCATTATCGTTCGTTGTAACTCACTGAATCATATTGTTTATTTCATCATCTTGCACATTTTAACTCGCTGACCAGAGATTTTCAGAGATAAAAAAACAATGAAATCCAAAAGAAACAAAATACAATGGTGTCAGTTATTCCAGAACAAAGATTAACTTATTCAAATAATTTTATAAACAATAAACAAGTATAATCACATTTTTTAATTAAAAAAATACTGGTTTAAAAGTCCTTTGCCTCGTAACAAAATCACAAATCGTCAACAATGCCTATCTTTAAGTATTATTTATTTTAAAAAAAACACCGAATATTCACCTTTATGCAAAAATCATAATTCATTTGTATACTTTCTATATACATTAGCCAGTACTTTCATTTACAGATGGAATATAGTTTTCATATCGTAGCCTTAATGGTTACTCAATGCAAATAATGTAATGTTATTTCCTTAACCCTTAACCAATATTCCAGTAAACCTAAAACAAAATCAATATACTTTCTCTTTCGACAAAACTGTAGCTTAATTTACAAGTGGAAGCAGTTTGCATTCACTATCAGCTATATATTCTGCATAAGACTTCCATTTATTTATTCCCATGGCAAATGTTTCAGAATATTCACGAACGCTGTAACAGTTTTAGTTAATTCAGTAATAATGTTCTTACAAATAATGCGGCATTAGGATACTGTTTCAAAATAACAAATCAAATCAAAAACAATAAAAGCATTGGGATACACATGTTAATATCTTTTTACAGTTCTGAATATTTTATATCCTGTAACAACTTAGCAGATGGTAAACACATCTCGGCAAAAAAAAGGAAACAACGTCATTACTTTGAACTCGTTTGCACTGTTCATATTCATGCATGTTCATTCACACATGTTCATACGTGTTCATACTGCATAAGCAACATACAAAGCGAAAGTTAGGCTCTTCTTGTTTATGTAACCCTTGACCGAGCGAACCATAATGTCCTGAAACTATCTGCCAAAGCGGACGAGATGAGCCGCCCGCATGTTAATTTCACTGGCAACTGTTTGTATTTTTTCCGTACAGTTCCTCTTAAACTGAAGTTACCGCACAGCCCTAATTATTTAAAGTTTCTCCAAAATAATTCTGAAATTTAAAAGACCTTTTTTTCCGTTAGCTTATTGTTTTTAATAGGTTTTTTTTTTTTTTTTTTTTTTTTTTTACAATTGCTGAATTTAATATGAACACTGATTTTAAACAATGATCTCCATCATTTTTATGTTTTTCATTTTTTTTTCTTAGAGTAGATTAACAAGTTGTCTTTTTACCATTGGCGAACAGACTTGGGAAAAGAGTGAAGAAAATAATATATGAAATTTTAAACTTCTAAGAACAAAATAAATGTCACTGTGCGAATCTCTATCTCCTGTGTAATATTCTAAATGACGTTGAATTTCTGTGAACATCGCCATTGCAAACAGTTACAGCTTCATGTCAACTATGGTTCAAAGAAACAAAAATAAAACAAAATCTTGATAAATCAAAAGAAATACATGCCATTTTTCAGGAAATAAAAGATACCGTGTGCAGTGTGTCCCAGAAAAAGCGGGCGCTCGGACTATTCAGCAGCCATATCGAGACAAATATTCACGTGAGACTAAATTTTGTTTGTGTATTTTTTTCATGCTGTTGATGTTGTTTATTGCCTGTGAAAAAATATACTGAATTGATTTAAATTTTCAAGCCATGACTAAAAACGTTATGAGCTCCATAAAATCGAAATGTACACTTTTTGCAGCATTAGCTTGTGCTGGTAAATTGGTGGAGAGAGGGAGACCATGAACCTGTATCACGCACAAACACATGCAAACAAGAAGAGGCTGTCTTTATTTCATAACACAATTATTTGTAATGTTCATAAACAAAATCTGAATCAGATGAAATGAAATATTGCCCCTTGAATATAATATAATAACCAAACAATTCATTATTCCTGTTGTCCTAACATTTTTGGCCGTCGTTGACGTGAAAATGTGTAAATTTCGATTTGTAAGAGCCTTTGCGTTGTTAGTCATAGCTTCAAGAATGTTGAATCAACACAATTTTTTTCGTCACAGACACTAAACAACATCAACAACATGAAAAAAAAAGAAACAAGTTTAACTCTGGCGTGAATAGTTTTGTTTAGATATTGCCGCTCATTTGTCCGGAGCCGCTTCTTCTGGGACACACTGTACATACCAACTCATCCATTCTAAAATTATAATTCACAAAGTAAGATCCAGACTTTAGAGGGCGGGCTTTACTTTTTACAGCCTGTCATCGATGTTGATGGATACCTGGCAAAGAATCGTACATGTCTGGAGTCAGACTTGGGATTAAATGTAAAAATAAACCACAGATATTCGTGATATTCGGCTAAGAATTAGTACTTTTTTGTTATAAACAAATATACGGTAGTCGAATATTGTTTTTGCATTCATTTGGTTCATCCGTGATGTTTCAAATACATCTGGCAAAATGTATGTATTCCCGTCGAAATTCATCATTGTTTCACCTTCTGGGAAATTTCTTCATATAATCGGACATTTGACGGTGTGTTACAGATACAAATAGAGGTTACAGTTTCATGGGAATATATAACAGAAATAAACGATTAGAGCATTATTGCAACTGTTAGGACACTGTGGAATATCTGTTCTCGTAAGTTGCCATTATTAACCTATTTGAAGTATGGCAGACACAATAGGAGGGCGCTGTTTGATTTGGGTAAACTTATTTGTATTATTTTACCCAAACCAAATAGCGCCCTCTTATTGCGACGGCCAGGCAGACATAACCACTTCATTGTTGACGGGTTCCGACCACTGATCTCTATTACTAGCGGGATGCCGCGCTTCGCGCGGCACCCGCTAGATGGGTGGAGTTGACTGTTTCGTAATAATTACTGTATACAATGAAATCTCGATAATTTAAACTCTAATAACTCCAAACAACTGTTAAGTCAAATAAAGAATCAGACCCTCTGCTGCACGCGAGCCTATTTGGACTCGCCATCAGTCTCGCCTAAGTTGTATTTGCGTTTAGCAACGTGCGTGCACATAACGTTTCCTGCGGAGATGGTGCGAGGGTCCAGGACATATTGTCAATATAGGGGAAGGGGCTAGCTAGGGTGAAGGGTGCTAGTTGGAACGCCCAATTTCCGTAAAACCCGTCAACCATGTCACCAATATTTCCGGGGATGGGGAGAAATATTTCCAGGGATGGGGAGAAATGGTTTTTGTTATAGAGGGGAGATGGTGATATTGAAATCGCTGATATTGTGGAGGTTTATGTTTGTGGTGGGATTCATACCGTTTAAATGTTGTTTTAAATTGCGCACCGATTAGGAAGGTCTTGCTGTCAACAGTTGAATGAAATTAAGTATTTATTGCCGACCGATTGTCTCATGCGATGCCTCATTATATAAAGCTCATAAATAATGTTGTGCTAGAATATTGTCCAGTCAATTTGAACATTGATTTTTCAAGGTGCCAAACCATTAAGGACGTATACACCAACTGTACAAATAGGTAATTTAGATGAAACGCGGTTTGATCTTGGCCTATACAACATCGTATCCATCGTTCTCACTACAGAGTGGAGGAGGGGGCAGCCAGTGGGGGTGGGGGTTGGATATTGTGTGGACGTCGCCAGGATTTTTTCTAGAGGGGGCAAAACATATTTTGGCCAAAAAATTCCTGTTTTTCTCAACACATTCTCGATTTATCAGTTTTAGAGGGGGGCAGGGACATTTTGCCCCCCCCCAACCCATTAAATTCACACCACTATGACTTCGCGCCTCTTTTTTTTTTTTTTTTTTTTTTTTTGCTTTTCGGGGGGGGGGTGCCCCCCCCCCCTCCTCGCGACGCCCATGCCTATTTATGTTACACCTGTGAATGGTCACATATTACATTTCCGGGGAAGTGGGCAACAATTTATATTCGTTATGGTGAAGGGGGTGTTTCTTATTAAAGTAGAAGTTAATGTCATTATAGCAGTTGGTGTTTTTATTATGTTGATGGGGTTGTACAGCAAAGTATTGTAACACGTTTATTTGCAGAAGAGAGTAAAACTAAAAGAAAGGACATATTGGAGCACTTCATAATTATGTCAAGCACCACATGTTAAATGAATTTATTACAAAACTGTGAAAATGAAATCAGGTATACAGGAATTTTTTTAGTAATAATGTATTTGCAGCATTCATTACTGTACAGGGTAGTACTTCGACAAAACTCAGGGGATATAATTGTAGTCAGTTTTCGGAGCAATTTTCGCAAGGGACGTCGGTCCAGGCTTGTTTACCATAGGCACAAACATTCCATGAAAAACTTTCAAGCAAGACGGCCAAAGGTTATTGTGCAATTGCAGTTTTTTTGTGTTAAAAGCTGTAATCATTAATAATGACAGTGGCATTGTAAGTTACAGGACAACATTTTTTTAATGAGTGTTGGTGAAAACTCATGAGAAATGGAGGGGTATGCGAGTATGAATATTTTGTTGTGAAATTTTAAGAGTGATTATGTAACTCGGTAATCAAAGACATTGTTTTGTTATCAAATAAGTCTGCTTGGCCAGTAATTATCGGGTAATCATTCCATCATTATTCTTGGGTACAACTAAGCCAAGGATATAATTTAAAAAAAAGGATGGACATTGATGGTGTTTTGAATGGGTAAAGAGAAAAAGCAGGAATCTTGCAGTTGAACTGGAAAGAATAGGTGTGTCACGTCGTCGTCTTGAGTTGAGATTCTTGCTTTGGGAACTGGTTGAAGCATGCACTGGAGCATGCTTGGAGCATGGTTGGAGCTGGTCATGTGATGTGGGTGTCATCGAGAGTCCTGTGTAAAGGAGTTAGAAAGAAAAGAAAAACGACTAAGGTGAAGAAAACTTGTTAAAAAAAATACATTGGCTAACAATAGCTCTTTATCCTGCTTGGGTTCATGTCTGTTGTCGAGTCATTTGATTTTCTGCCAGAGTGTATTCTCTAAGATCCACTATTCTAACTGTGTTGGTTTCAGGTTTTAGTCTTTGCCTGTATTTTTTGGTTTTTGGCCTGAGGTTTGAACTTAATCACGTCTTTAATTTTGAGGGTTTCTTTATTAAGTTGGTTATTGGTCTTTGATTTACAGTAAATTAATTTAGTTTTGCCTATGACTTATGAGTATGAAAGTCATTTCTTTAAAGGAAGTTTTACGTATGATTTGCCGTGTTCTAAGATTACCACAAAGATTTAGTTTGCATAATTTGTATGGAATGAATGTACATTTCATGGCCTATATACAAATGCAGCAGTTTTTTTCTAGCTAGTATAGGCCTAGGCCTAAAACAAACTAAAGCAAAATCCAAAAATAAACTACAAACAAAGCCCAATTGTGAAATCAAGAGTTGGCAAAGTTCTACAAACATGTTCCGGTACATGTTCCAAGTGAGGCCTGTATTTACGGAGGTCATGCAGTAAATTGGCCACATTAAGCCTAGTAAGTTAACCCACGGCCAAACTCTCGATGTCCGAGGCCTCCCCCGCACGTACAACCCTCCCCGTACAACCCTCCCCGTACTCACAAACTCACAGTCACACTTTTCACAAACAACAATGCTTCTCATTGCCAGTGGCGTTCGAAAGAATACCACTTTTCATAAACAACAATACATATCATAAATGAGACTTACCGTTCAAAGAGAAAACTGGAGCAAGGAACAGATACATCAACCATGTCAACAACGCTGTGCTGAAGAAATGTGGGGCATGCAAGTTGCATGCGCTGCATGCTCAGCGCTCATAACGAACGTATACGTGGCACGTCAATTATCGATATCCGGCCCATACGCTGCATGCACGTCAATTATCCGGCCCATACGCAAGATGGCCGGCGCGGCCCAATGGGGAAGGGAATTATGGGAAATAGGGTGGAAATAGCCGGGCCCTGTTCCGCACCCCCCGCGGCCAACGGGCGCGGGCGGGACGGGAGACCGGTCGGGAAAATGGCAGCGCCCTCCAATCATTTTCGTGATTGTAGTATAGAAGTATAGATACTGACTGAATAGCACTTCGGGCCGTGAAGGTGAAGTCACTGGACGCCATTTTGACACTCCCTTTGGCCACGTAAAAATATATGCAAAGTCATGAAGTAAAATTATTTATTTGAACAAAATATAACATGAGCAAAATCGTACTGTGGGCAAAATGAATAAATAAAAATGTGTTTGATGATCCAAACTTGCTTCCTAAACTATTGTAATTATGTGCTTTTTATATACGGATCCGTGCGTTGTGGGGCTTTGAGGGAGCTTCAAAATGGCCGCCGCGTGTGTGCGAGGGCCTCACGGTCTTGTGCACACCCATGATGAAGCGCTATCCAGTCAGTATAATGGAGATCAGTGGTCCCGACCGCCTTGTTTTGATATCCCACCTGTTCAGTTGAGGGTGGAATAAACGTCGTCTGCAGGTGCACCTGGTAGGCTGTAGACGCCTTCATCAGGTGTGGGGCAATTGGCTTTGGGCTGTCGATCGCCTGCACGATTGAAGGTGTCATAGGCGTTGCTTTCAGTTGGACGTGGAAGATTGTAGGTGCCGACATCAGTAGGGGCATTCTTCCTTGGGTGTTGGGCTCCGGCACGATTGAAGGTGTCGTAGTCGTTTCCTCCAGGTGCCTCCTCATCGGTCTGAGAGTCTGTGCCTGGATCGCTGTCATCTGGACCGGGTTTCTCGAGCTTGAAGTAGTAGTCTCCCTCCGGGTCTTCATCTTGGCTGTCAGAGATGGTGACTGGATGACCATCCACGCTGACATACGTGTACTCATCATTTCTGGCTGGTTGCCGGCCTTGTTGACCGTTGACATCGTCATCCAGATCCATGTACACACCCCCGAGGGACTGCGGTGCGTCTACGTCCACGTACCCGCTGTCCTTCGCCTGCTTTCTCCCTGAAGCTTGCCCAAGAGGAGAGCCTACTCCACTGGCCCCGTGACGTGTCACCCGGGGCTCCATCGCGGGCTCTGGATCCACATACTCGCTCTCTGAGCTCCCTGACGGCTTGCGGCCGTTGTTTGGGATCGGTGTGTACACGGCTGGGTCGTCGTCCATTTCCTTGGTGCCCGTCAAGCCGGTGTACACGCCGTTTTCTTGCTGAGGCTTGTAAGCTGTATAGCCACTGGATGGGATGGTGGCATAGCTGTCTGCCTCGTTGTTGGGATACGGCGTGTAGTCCGGAGATTCGTCATCACCGAAGGCCGTGTCCTGATCCAAAAAAAAGGAGAGAGATCTGTTAGATCAGTGTTTCGAAATCCCCAAGAATATAGGTAAAATTAAGAGATACTGTGAATCTCTACTTCAATAGACCTTATTTACACACGGCAGATATCTTTAAAAAGACTGTTTCTGCTTTTGGAGTCAGCAGCTTCGGATTTTGATAATAATCTTCTCAAACCTTTCTAAACGGAAAAAACGGCGCGCTGAAATGTCTGCCGTTTTGAAGGTTTGTTCATTTCGATGACGTTTTTGTCATGTACTGGCAGAAAACTACCTTAAACCAGGTTGGTCGTGGTTTCCTTGTCCCTGAGCAATCCAGTTTGTCGTACTTTCTTCTTTCCACGATATTGCGCTTAGTATACTTGTTAAGATGGAGCTATTAATGTTGAGCTTGATGACAAATTTAGACATACCTGCCGAAGTGGGCATTCGAATTTAGAGGTTTGTTTCTGCGTGCTCACAAAAGTTTGCATTGGTGAAAAAAAACAAGAGCAAATAATGCACTATAACTGAAATCCATACATGTTGCGCCTATATAGGAACTGAATCTCGATGAATTTTTATGCCTAAATAAAACCAATCCTGATTTCCCTCCTACGAGTTCTAAACTCCACACTATACGGTGCGTGCCGTTTTTCTTTTATTTCATTAAAGAAAAATGTTCCAAACGTTTTACCTTGTTAGGCAACCCACTAGTAGTCACAGGATGCAAGTTGATATCAGCAACGTGACCATTCTCTTGATAGCTGTAGGTTGGATTGGCTGGGGATTAAGACCAGATTAAAAGGAAAGAATATAAGGTTCTGAAATGTAAATAAAATATGCAGAATTTTATAAGGGACCTTTTTCAAAACCATGAATCATTTCTGTTTAACTTTGGGAACTATAGCACCAGTCTTCATGTTGTAAACTTTATTTTTCAGCATCAGTAGTGCTGGCAGGTGAATCATTAATCTACAACAATGGACTTACCTACAGGGAGAGGGGATTTAACCTCGTCTTCACCTGCCATCAGATGGCCAGATCTATTATGACAAATAATGAAAAATAATAATAATGAAGCAGAAGCTTTATCCTGTGGATTATCGGTGTAATGGTACCATTAAGGAGACACGTTATCGTAATTTCTTCGCACGATGGGAGACATCGGTCATTAGGGAGACATTTTCATGTCTCCCTAATGTCACAGCACCCCTTTAGAGGCAAATTTTTGTTGTCTCAATTAGATTATATTTGTTGCTCGTGGTCTACTTAGTAAACATACCGACATTTGTGGGGAAAAAAAGGACAATGGAATATTGGGTTAGGGCACATTTAAGCTTGAAAAAATTTGTGCACAAGTCTATGGGGATGTCTCCCAAATGTCCAATCCAGGGTAATTATAAATATGGGAATTATGAATCAAAGAAATCTGTTAAAGTGGTGAGGAAAACAAGTTAAAGTTAAAAAGCAAGGCAAACCGGTGTTACTGATGTCAAGATAGTTCACATATTGAACGATATATCATTCTGCCCAAAGAGGGCAGGTTCATGGAGGTCCTTTTCGAAGGTTATTTTTTCTCTCGCAAACTAAGGCAATGTCTTGTGCCACATGCTAACTTGGGCAAACTTTTCCGCACACTACCTTTTCTTACAACAAAACAACCTGTTTGATATTAATTCAATTAGCCTCTAAGATGGCTACTACGCAGAAAGTCTATTAATTTCACCCAATCAAGAGATTAGCAAATACATGTCTTACAGTGAGGCCCATTTTGAATGCGGACTTCGCTTTTCATGACGCATTGTTGTTTAGTTTCAACAGAGCTTTGATTTTACTGATCAATATTGACGGAAGTGAACTTGATAATCCATATTCCATAACCTCCAGAGTGATGTTACTGTCAATAGGTCAAACCTACCCACGTGACTTCTCTCCCCTGTTCTTGCCTCTCTTCCGCCAAAAATAGAAAGCGACCAGCGCCGCCAAGATGACAATTACGGCCAGGGTGACTCCAATGGGAACTCCTATCGGACCACCGGTCTGTCGCTGGTTTGGTGAAAGCTTTTCGCCGACAGTTGTTAGTTCTTTATTGGACTCGGTTCCAGTCCGTTCATCATTGGGCGTAGTTACTCCATCAGGTTCGCCGTCAATATTGTCGACTGAAGTGGTAGCCACAGTTGCGTATGTGTCGACAGTGTCAGTTGACAAGGCTGGCTTGACGGTTGAATCTGTTTCTCTTGTGTCGCTGGTTCCCGTTAATATTTCACTTGTCGGTGTTGTTAGCATTAGATCTGAATGGTCAGGTTCTGTCGAGGTCACGCTTGTTTTAGAACAGTTACAATAATCATTCACGCTCCAGTTGCTAAAGTTGCCTACACCATTGCGAAAAAAGAAGAAGAAATGTTTAGATAAATGGAGGGGAGGCAAGCAGGCCAACCCAGGTCATTTTGAATTCCAATGTTTGTGATCGATAATGTAGTCTTCTCATCCCCTTTTACCCAAAAGAACCCGCATTTGATTTTTCAACGGCTTGCGAAGCGATCGGCATATGCTGGCACATCCTGGTTGTGACACTATAGGGCCTATTTTTGGCCCGCCGAAAAGTGGCTTACAATAAAAATAGGCATTTTTAAATTAAAGAATAGTTACTAAAAGAAACTGTTTGTGCTCGAAAAGTAACGTGAATTTAATTAAACCGGGAAAAAACTTATAGTTAGATCTGTTTTGGAAAAACTGCGTAAATTTGAACGCGTGTTCGTGAAATTAATTCCTTAATCTAGCCGGAAAAACCTACGTTTTGTGACGAGGTGTTAATGAAAAGTTAGTTTTTAAAGATTTGAATAAACTCTGTATTTGTATTTTGGGTTCGCGTGAAAGTGTTCTTTTATCACATTGTGGCCTCGTTTCTACAATCTCATAACTTAAAAGTAATGCATACTTACTCTCAAATACCATTGGTAATTCACACATGAACTGGAAACGTTCAGCGCATGATTCACTTTTCAGTCGAATGGGTTGGTCTGAATTCCCACTTCGCGCTATTGCAAAACAATTAGAATTTCCAGAGATACGTATTGCAGTTTCAGTCCGTGCACTACCATCTAGCCATGCAGAGCCATTGAACCCAGCCCAGTAATCCTCGGCCCCAGGAAATGTTGATTGAAGAAATTCTCGCTCCTGCCCGGTTTCGATGTAGACAAGGTGGCCGCCCTGATCACAACAAGCCCGCCTGGCCTCAGTGAAATTCTTCATCTCGTTGACGAGTCTATAGCAGGACATTGTTGTGTTTCCAGCACAATCTGCGAATAGTACAAACAAAACGAATAATGTTTTCGGTCGTCAGTTTTAAGAGTATTAGCGGCCATTTTTTTCGTGAAAGCGGCTTCATATTCAGACATCAATTAGAAATTGTTTTGTTTTTAGGAGAAACTGAAATTTAGTTTGTTCCATTTTCAGCAGGGCTCTGCCTGAAAAGTCACACACTCCCATTATACGTGTACATCGCGATTAATTATGATGTTTACAATATCTCATTTTGTTTCGCACTTGAATCGTTTAATTTTGTTAATTTAAATTTTGTATAAATAGCCGAGCACTGTAACTTCACATAATTGGAAATACAATGCTCGGTACGACGCTGAAATAAATGTCTGGTGTGATGACATTTCTTTGAGACATTATCTCACCTCTGCAAGGCATTTCGAAAGTCGTACTAATTCTTTCTACATCTTGGCAAACACAATATGTCAAATTTGACATATCCGGGGAAGATCTATAAAAAAAAAAAACAATATACAATGGACAATATTTAATTGAAATATAATCGGTGAGATTTAATCTTTAGGTCGTTCCTTCAATTATTACAATTTTTTAATGCTAATGAAACTGAATGCCATCGTAAATTAAAGTGTTAATTTCAGATTTTCTTTTTAATTCAAACAAATTAAATGTGTATCCATAGCAAAATCATTTCACAAATATGAAATGCTAAAAATCAATGGGTAAACGTTCATTAGACCCCCCCCCCCCTCATACGATATTCTAATATGAGGTTTTGCATTACATTTCATTTATTGACTGGATTCAAGAAAGTTATTAACTGCACAGTCGCTGGTAGAGTGGACCTTGGCTACAGAATGTCCTGAAAAATTGCTACTTTTTATCCTAAGCTTTAATAAATTTTGAGAATAGACATTTTTTAAAGGGGCTATAAAGGTAATGGAGATAATCCTTGTTATGATCGCCAATCGTAAATCTAAAAAAATAAACAAAAATCGCATAACAAATGACTTATAAACTGAAAAGTAAGGTTCCTGTTTTGAGAGACTAGTTCTAAAGCACAACACGCGTGGCAGACTCTTTTGTGTACAATTGGAGGTTAGGGTAATAATAATGAAAACTCCAAATAAGGGCACAATGTATTGTTCGTTAATGTGTATTGTGGATAAAATATGCCAAGTAATCCCTGGCATCCTTGACCTTGCTCAAGTCAAAATGTGGGGCGAGTAAGAAAAACGTAACCACATGCATTTTTTTGAAATGCCTGTAGCACTTTCAAAATCTGGGATATGAAAGCCCAAATGATGAGCTTTCTTTTAGTAAGAATATTCCTATTTTATATCACTCGTGTACTTTTCAAGTTACGGAATGCCGAACATCCATGAAATAATTTGCAACAGTAAACATTTGGGTGTTGTCGTCAATAATGCGCCAAGACTTTAAGATATAAGTACAATTAATGTTTTCCTTACGGAGACATTTTCACAATATTTCGTAGGCATGTAGGTAAGATTACCTGACATGACGTCCTCTGACTGCAGCAGCGTGAATCATAAAAGTAGCCAAGAGAAGAAATGCAACAGCCGTAGACATGTTTCCTGAAGACATTGCTAAGTTCGTGTCCGTCGCTCCTAGATCCTAGAAATTATCAGTAATATTATTCCTATCGCGTAATGTTCTCCTAAAGCGTGATAGGCTTATAGTTTACTCAGCAGAGGCTGATCCACACCTGGTTTATGGGTCTACATGTATAATTCAATTGGCTGCAATAGAATCCCGCACTGTACCAACACTGTGCAATGGGTATTTGTTGATATTTTTTGCCAACGTCACGTAATTCTTTGTCGTGATATCAAGGTCGTCACATGACCCATTCAAAATCACTCTAGTGTCAAACTCTTTATGTCACGGATACTATTATAGAGAAACCCTAATTGTTCTTCTATTGTGGCAATTTCTGGTCGGCCGATTCGGTAGTTTCCCTTCACGAACTCTGCATGCAGGGATTCAATGCAAAGTGCAGTCGAAATTTAGATACTGATATGCAAATTGGTCATATGAAATTGAGTCATCCATGCACACAATGCAGATTTGTAGGGAGAAATTTTTATAAGCTAGCTTTGAAGTTTGTTTACAATTTCGGCGTATTTTTGGTCGGTTGATCTGCCAGCAGACCTCCTGGAAAAATATAGCCTAGCTATTCGTATCAAGTTGAGTCATCTACTGTCCCAATAGGAACCTGTACCGGTCGTTTTTCATAAGCTAGCCTAATGAGCAAGATCAGGTTTGTTTGCAAACATTTTCAGAGGGTGACTTGCCGTCAGGCCTCCTGAAAATGAAACCTAGCCGGTCGTATCGAGTTGAGTGATGTATCGCAATAGGAAATTGTACTAATACCTTTTAATAAGCCAAGTAAGAACAATAAGGTGTTCATGAGTATTTGTTTCCTAAAAAACTGAGCGCAGTTTGTATAGACCGACGGCTATCATTACGAGTATGGATGATAGAAGACCAGGCCCACGATGACACACACAAAAATGCCTTATTAAAAAATCCTCATTTTAGTGCTGATTGTTGAGTGCTTTGAATTTGTACAATAATTCTGCCATTAATTTCCGTCCATGGTTTGCTTACTATCAATTAGTTTGCAAAAACTATTTCTTGAATGGAGCAATTTGAATGGAGAGTGTCATTTGCCAATGGAACTTAACCCTATGAATTTGAAGAATTATCAGTTTGTGAAGAAATAAAGGTGGCCGCTATCTTCTCACACACAAAAAAATGATGCGGAAAAAAGTCATAGTAGTATAGTTTACAATCATTATGAAAGTATGCAGGCTTCATGTGCATGTGTTGAGTTGCCAAGTGACCCTGGGTCACCGGCTTTACAAATTCTAGCCAATGAGAGAGCTAGAAGGGTGTTCTGGCAGGAACGACGGTCGGTAGTCGGTACAAGGGAATTTTTGTACTCGTTTCCTGCAGTTCATGCGCCGACAACAGGTAATGAATAGATGAATAGAAAGAAACCGATACTTGTGATCTCCCAATACCAACTGATCTAGGTCGCTTTTTCTGAATAAATGTGTACTTGATCTTGTTATATATTAACGTGTACCTGGTTTCATGTACATTCAAGTGTTATATGCAGTTAGGCCGATGATCTCCTTGCCAGGCTTGTTTGTATCCTTTTATCAGTTTATTTTACAGTTTTGTAAAAGGAGCCAAAAATGAAACTGACATGAAAGAGGGGACACAAACATTATACACTGACACTGCATGCTTCCTGCTTTAACCCATATTTTATGCGTTTATTCACGTATTTCCAGCATATACCTTCATCCAATTACACATTTCATTTCTTAGGATAATCGTAAACTAAAAAGCAAGCAGCAGCGTTAATATATTCAGCCGAGTTGAACGTCTAAAATTGGCCTTTTTTTTACCGGTAAAATCTGGGAAGATTTGAACAATCATCATCATAATTAACAATGTGTATGTATTGACCTATATGACTAATACAGAAACCCTCATTTTTTTAACTACAGATTTTGCCTTGCACTATCACATATACTACATACACACTAAGATTTGTTCAGACAAAATGTTATCCTAATGTTCTCATATATTGGCCGTCAAAGTGAAATACCACCCTATTGTATACTATAATGACAAAATATCACTGAACGTGGGTACAGCGACATAACCAGCAAACGCAATGTACATGCAAGGCCTATATTTTTACTAATAATATAAAAAAAAATCTCTGTGACAGAAAATTAGAACTTGAAATCACTTATTACACTGTTTATAAAAAAAACTTGACGAGTTAAACTTGACTAGGAAACAGCCAAACAAGTACCAAATTTACAGTATAGTTTACAATCATTATGAATGTATGCGGGCTTCATATGCAGTAAGGCCGATGATCTCTTTGCCCGGCTTGTTTGTGTCCTTTATGATTTCACGGTCCTCTTCTGATATATTTGTTTGTGTATAAGGAGCCCCAAAATGATAATTAACATGAAAGAGGGGACACATAAATTACACACTGACGCTTCAAGCTTCCTGTTTAACCCATATTTCCAGCATATACCTTCATCGAATTACACATTTCTTTTCTTCAGATCTTCTTAAACTAAAAACCAGCAGCGTTAATATATTCAGGCGAGTATACATTTAAAATGGACCTTTTCGACCTGTAAAATCTGGGAAGATTTGAAATATCGTCATCATAATTAACAATGTGTATGTATTGACCTATATGACTCATACAGAAACCCTCATTTTTTTAACTACATATTTTGCCATTGCATCATCACATAATACTACATGCACAGTTAAGATTTGCTCAGACAAAATGTTTATCCTAATGTTGTCATAATATTGGCCGTCAAAGTGAAATGCCAACCCATTGATTATACTATAATGACAAAACTATGATATTCGCTGAACGTGGGTACAGCGACATATAACCAGCAAACGCAATGTACACGCCAGGCATATAGTTTTACTAATGATATAATATACATCTCTGTGTTTTGACAGAAAATCAGAACTTGAATTCACTCATGACACTGTTAATAAAAAAAAAAAAAACTCTTGTTAAACTTGACGAGGAAACAGTCGAACAAGTACCAAATTTACTACAGGTATAAGCTGGATTCGATTTAGAATGTTTTCAAATTGTTTATGGCTTTGTAAAAGAGGACAATTTTGTTATAAGGATCTTCAAAATCCAATATAACAACTGATGACTCCAGGTTTACGAAATGAAGTCGGAAAAAACACTCTAACTGTAATGAGCGAAGCGACATTATATTACAGCAAGTCCCTTCTACGCGCATGTATACCAGAACAAAAAAAAATTGAAGTGCTAAAACCGCCTTGTTAAATTCACACCGATATAATACTCAATAAACACAGCATTTGTTTCTGTTAATTATGCAGGTTTACCCTTTAGCTTAATAATATAGGCTGAGCAAGTACAACATTTTTATTTCAAATTAACATGTAATGAGATATAAATGTAAACATAAAACGCTTTTTAAACGTTAGCAATTAAAAGTTCGCATGTTACATCACCGCTTGTCTTATAATATTAATATTAGCTGAGTAGTACTTTTAAAAAAAAATGTATATAGCCTTGTGTTTTTAAGAAAGCAATTTAACATTTTGCTTACATCATCGCAATTTTAAGGCGCTTTGCCTTCTTACATTTGAGCCAAATAGTCCAAAATAAAGTATCTTTTGCGTAGTAATCTTAAACATTTTGCGTTCGAATTGAAAGTTTTTCCGATCACGTCACCACTTGTCTTTACATATTAAATTAATAAAAACTGAGTAGTACAATTTAATGGTATTTAGGTGCAACGAAGGTATTGTGCTAAGGCATTGTAACAGGAGCATTTGAGAATTCCTTCTTTTTCATCATCGTCGGTATTCACATAAGCTCAATACTAAACACAATTTTTGTTTTAAATTGTCTCCTACGTATATAATCTACACCTTTCGACATTTTAAGTTTCGCATATTTGATGTTTTGTTCGTGTAATAATACAAGCAATGTACATGCATGTAGTACGAAACTGTAATTTTGAAGAAATCATAAAATGATAATCTAAAACGTTATTAACGATAGTAATTTAGTTTCGCCTAAATTTCATCGCCTCTTGTCTTTGGACATTACTTTAAGCTGAGTATTACAACATCATAAATTTAGAGTGGTTCGTGTATATACAACAGTTTCTGTTGACATCAATTTTAAGTTTTGCATTTGTATGGCCGCAATATTGTAGTGTCGTAATAAACAGTACTATTGTAACTAAACTTAACTATACACTAAACGTTCGCCTATTCCTGTAAATGTACCATTAAGGAGGAATTTTTTGTAATAGATTATTCTTTAGGACGAGAAGGTAGATTAAGGAGATATTTCAATGTCTTTCAAATGTCACAACTCCTATTTACAGGCAACACTTTACTGACGCAAGATAGGCTGGATCGATGCTCGTGGTCCAAAAATATGAATGTTCAAAAATTCGTGGGGTAGGATAAGGTAAAATGGAGGTGAGGGGACATTAAAGTTTGAAAATATGTTTCCCTAAGGTACCATTCTCGGTCATTATTTTTTTTACACCGTCTATTAATCTGCGTAAAATCCAAAATCACTCACAAGTGTAAAATACACACATCTACCCTTCACAATTTGACTACTGAACATTCAAATTTGCACATTTTTGCAAACATTTCTGAATCTATAGATTCAGACCAACAACAATATTTTTTGTATCAATATTTTTCAGTGGTGAACTTCTGCGTATATAAATCTACGAAACAACCTCTTCAATACTAAGAATCAAGTGTGTAAAAACAGCCGGTATTTCATCAGCGGTTTAAAACCACCACCCACTCAACCAATCAGAATATATAAGTTGACTAAGGTATTTCAATCAGATATTTCTCATTTTTGTTTCAGTTAAATGAACCGAAAGAACAATTATATCCCTACAATTATTGTGTACAAAATACAGTTTTTCTATATTTTTTTTAAGTTCTTTATAAAGGCCATTATTGTACATATCTCGGTTTTCAAATAAAACTTCCAACACTAAATAAAACTAAAGCTTAAACCGCCTTCAAAATGTTATTCGAGTCTCATTTTGTTCACTTCCAAGCTTCGCTATGTTTCAGTGGTGAACTTGAAAATATGTTTCCCTATTTATGTTTCCCAGCTTATTCGCTAGAATAACTCGTGTATAAGATTCTGAGAGCGAGAAGAACACATTTTTGAGAAACCAAACTATGAAACTTGTACCCTTTTGTTGATGAGAGTCCAGAAAAGGATTCCACCCATAATGAACACTAAATTCAGCCCCCTGTGCTACGGCGTCCCAGACTGGATACGGTGTTGGCCTCAGTGTTAAAATCAATATGCATGCAAAATGGAACAACACTTGGGACTTTGTACCAATCTTAACTTGACTGTATAAGTGAAATTTTTGTCAAGTTTCTCCAGGTCTCTTCTTTAGGAGAATAAAATTTCAGGTAAATGCAGTGGCGTAACAACGTGAGGTGGGGGGGGGGGGGGGGGGGGGGGGGTTACGGTGGCACTCCCCCCGAACATATGTTGGTGATCAACCAACATCCCCCGGTTCTCTCCCCCCCCCCCTCCCACCATTTAAAATCAGGAACTGAACAAAAATATGTATCATTTGTCTTCCAGAGTTGTATAGTCGAGTCTATCGCAAGTCCTTCAGTCTCAAGTCAAGTTACTAGCTATTCTGTTACAACATCATTTCTTTGTCATTGTTCATCCCGTTATACTTCTGACTGGATGCATGAAAAGATTTGTGACTGGAGTTGTGACTGGACTTGGGAGAGACTTGTGCTGGACTGGACTACAACAATTGCTTCAGTGGCCCCTTGAAAAATTGTGCACCCCAGGTGATCCCACGTTTGACCCTAGTTACGCCATTGGGAAATGCCTGGTTTATAGTCTCAGTCCAACGTAGAGTACTCACTCTCGTTATTTATGGCTGGTGCCCCTGGCGTTCGTTTCTTGCCGACACGGTTGGCAGTGGAATACACATCGCCTTCTGGCGGGCCTGTGAGGCTGTAGACGCCTTCATCGGTAGGGGCATTCGCACTTGGGCCTCGATTACCAAGCCGATCAAAGGTGCTGTATTCGTCATCGCCTGGCGGGTTTGTGAGGCTGTAGAGGCCATCATCAGTAGGAGCATTATTACTTGGACGCCGAACACCTGGACGATTGAAGGTGTTATATTCGTTACCTTCTGGAACACTTGTGAGACTGTAGAGGCCATCATCAGTAGGAGCATTATTACTTGGACGCCGTTTACCTGGACGATGGAAGGTGTTATATTCGTTGTCTTCTGGAACACTTGTGAGGTTGTAGACGCCGTCATCGGTTGGGGAATTTGCACTAGAGCGTTTACCTCCAGCTCGATTGAAGGTGTCGTAGTCGTTTACTCTAGGCGCACTTGCCAGACTGTAGTCATCTTCATCATCTGCAGGGGGCTTCTCTAGTTTGAAGTAGTAGGCGTTTTCAGGGTCATCATCTTGGTTGCTAGCGAAGGTCGCCGATGGGCTATCCACGCTGACGTACCCACTACCAGGTTTCTTGCTGCGTGCCGATGGCTTACTTCCATCAGAGAACTCTACCGATGGAGCATCAACATCCACATAACCAGCACGCCCCTTTGAAGCAGAATCTCCGATTGGAGCATCGACGGACACGTACCCACTGTCCTTCGTCAGGTTCTTGGGCTTGGGTAAAGGAACTGGTGCCTTGACTCCCCCAGCACCATTCCGCTGAACAGATGGTGCTACCATCACGTACTCTGGATCCACGTACTCGTTCTCAGGGTCATCTTTGTCTTGTTTGGGACCATTGTTTGGGATCGGGGTATACACTGCTGGATCATCATCATCATCATTGTTCCCAGTTTTCTTGAGGTCTGTGTACACGTCATTGCCACGCTTTGGCTTGTACGCTGTGTACCCATTAGACGGGATGGGAGCATTTCTGTCTTCGTTGTTGTTCCTGGTACCCTGCAGGGCAGTGTAGACATCCTTCTGTCCGTCGGGTGTGTATGGAGTGTAGCCAGCAGATTGGATGGTGGCGTAACTCTCTGCTTCGCTGGTTCCCGCTGCACTGGTTGACTGATCGTTTGGCTGGTGAAACGATAGGGAAAAAGGTACATAAATAACCAATAGAACTATGCAGAAATGGACATACATTGGTAACTCTCAACGTGTGAATTTGCCAAACGATGACAATGGTGCAATTCGGTTCGTTTTGGTTCATGAGATCAGCAAACTAATAAGTGTCTAAAATTAAATACATTGTACAACATCACGTCCATAGAGCAATGCACCACTCGCACACACTTTTTAAGTTTCATTAATGCAAGCTATATTCACTAATTCTGAAAATATGTGCATTGAATAATATTTTATTCGGAAATAGTTACTGAGAATAAACCATCATTTCAATGATCGAATGGAGCTATAAATCATTTAACACACACGATGATGGTTACAGGGTAACAAGAGAAAGAAATGGAAGAGAAAGAAATCGATGAAATTCAGGGCATGAATAATCTTTGAAAGTATAATTTACCTTCACGTCGGCATACACGTTGTTCGGTTTCGACTTCGGGACTCTCGGTCGAACAGCTGCCACGGGTTTCAAGATGTCATCGGTCACGTGATCGTCTTCATCCAATCCGTATGTTGGATTGACTGCAAACAAAACAATATTAAACAACTAAGAGAAAGCATTTGAACGAAATTACACCCCCTTACCCAGGGCTACTTCTATATTTTATTTGTTTCAACTGGGAAAATCAGAACCGTCGATGAAATTATGACATTATACTTCACCTTTTACATAATTATTTCATTTAAATATGTAATTCGTCATTGTGGTTGCGCTTCATACTATATCTTGAAAACATCCCATTTAATGTGCAGCTCAAAACTTTTCATTGCATTTTTAATCTTGATGTTATACTTATTGAACGTTTCTTACCATTTGAGCCAGCCACGAGTGTGTTTGTTGTGAGTGGCTTGTCAATCCTGTTTCATAATAAAAGAAATGATATAAAAAAAAATACCAAATTCTGATGGAGAACCTACACATTTCTGTCATTAGTTAATTTTGCCTTGGAATATGATTTACATTTAACATTAATTGGTATAGAAAACAACATCCATTCAGAGAGATCTAAAATCAAACCATATAAGTGTACAGGGGCAGTAATAACTCATTGTCTGCTATCACCTATCTATATCTATAAGACAATTTATCCAGAGTTGACACTTCCAAACAAAACTTTCAATTTGATCGTTACAGGATAATCTACCAGTTTCTGTTAGCATGGGGTTATAGTTTCTCATTTCGTTTCCCGAAACGGTTGCTGTATCTTCAACCAATCTACCCAGTTGACATTACTCCTTCCCACATTTCAAACCCCAACACAAATTCGTCCTATAGCCGATCAGGATACATCAGATTGTGGTTAATATACCAAGTTTGATTGAGGAATAACATAAGGAGCTGCGTGTAAATTACAATGATTGATTCATTTTCGATGATTTTTATAAGATGGATTTTTTTTGCGTCGGGGTGATAAATCAAATTATAGGTTTTGCCCTTTACCGACGTTTTAACACTGTATACTCAGTGTGCCACCTCCAACACTGAGTACACACTGAGTATGCAGTGTTTGGCACACTGAGTATACACTGAGTTTGGCACACTAACTATACAGTGGCACTGAGTGGCACACTGAGTACACAGTGTTTAAACGTCGGTGAAGGGCAAAACCTATAATTTGATTCAATAATTTTGCTTGTGAAATTTACTGAAATGATTTTAATTTAGTTTGTTTGAAACGTTTTCGAGTAGTGCAATGCAAAGAAATCAAAACGAAACAAAAAGCAGATTACTCACCCCTTATTGTTTTTCTTCTCCCTTCTTCTCCACAAGATGAACCCAACAACGAGCACCACCAAGAGGAATAGTAAGGCCAGGGTCACTCCAACAGGGACACCGATTGGTACGCCTGTCTGGCCGGCTAGGCCTCCTCCCCCTCCTGATCCCACTGTTCCTCCCCCTCCTGATACTACAGTTGTCATTGGCTTGTCAGCAGTCACTGGTCTCCCTATGGCTCCGTCCTCAGTTGAACTTTGACCGACTGTTATGCCAGTTGTCGCTGGTCTCTCTGTGGCCCTTTCTTCTGTAGATCCTTGGCCGGCTGTTGTTGGTGTTGAGGACGTCACTGATGTTGTGTGTTGATCATTCCTGTTGTCACCTAGTGTTGTCATAGACTCCGAGTCATCTGGCACACAGGCGAATTCGCCATTGACGACGGTCACATTGGATGAAGTTCCGTTTACAGAGCAGGTACAGCTAAAATTGGATGGCCATACACCTACACCTTTGTGTAGGGAAGTCGCATGGAAAGATAATGTCACATCAATCACTATTATTTTTCCCCGACATGTGATCTCATGCCCTCCGGCTATAACTTGAACGAAATCTCGTCATTTGGTGAAAGATACCATTGTTTATTGCCCATCATATTTTTCAAAAGTTGTAGAATGATCAAACCGATTCACACTATTCACTTGCTAGGGCATAAAATACTGGAGGATATCCCAAACCTTTACATTTTGACCGGCATATAGGCTGTACCAAATATTATCATCAATCAAAACATGTCAAGATGACGTCCTCCCGGCAAACATGTCCACGAAAGGAAAGTTACTTACGGTCATCTCCAGACTCGTCAAAGGTGAAACTACAGAAGCCACAGTTGCATCGTATTGTCTCAAATCTAAGTGAAACAAAAATGAATACATACGATTAAAAGGCTGAGATACTGTCAAGTAGAAATAGGTAGAGATAATTATATGATCCCCTTATATAATAGCTGAGTTCCCTTTCTTCTTTAGAAGACCGAATATCTGAAACGACTTTTCAGTTAATTTAAATGTCCAACGTTTACACAATGGATTTTTTATTGCAGACGAATTCGAACTATGATTCCATGTCTTTTCTGGTTCTTACCTGGCTACAGTGTTGTCACGTGCACAGCCACAGCCACTGATGCAAGTTTCGTCGTTATTACATTGACACAGAACGTAATTGTTGAAGTAGTGGCTGTCACTACGGACGCACAGAGGTATGGAGTCAAGAAGACGATCGAGATCGGCGACGGGTGGTCTGCATGAAATACCTGATGAGTGCATGTCAAGAAACAGAACTGTGTTATGACCTATGGCTTAATATCAAGACTTGTGGATCCCGTACGGGAGATAAATGAAGCCTTGAACCATAACGCCCCTCGTGTCTTTGTCAACTCGAGCACATAATAAAAGAGATCAAACATGGTAGCAAAACAAACGTAAATTGCAATTTTCATTTTAAATGAGACAAAACAAAACAAATGAAAACGAAAATAACGCTGTACAAATGACTTTCACATTGGAGTCCTTATAATGAAAAACCGGACGGAGCAAATAAACTGTTTGAAGGGCTTAACCTGTGATCATCTTATTATCCAAGGGCATATAATTATATATCCCCCTACTTTTCGACAAGGGAGAGATGAGCCATCGGTCACCCCCCCCCAGATTTGTCAGAGTTGTAACGAGTCACTGATTTTTGTGACTCGAGTCGAGTCGAGTCATTTTAAAGAAGTGACTCGAGTCGAGTCGAGTCATTAGGTCAACAAGGTCGAGTCGAGTCGAGTCGAGTCACAGAGTGTGGTCGAGTCGAGTCGAGTCGAGTCAAGTATTTAGATCGAGTTAATTCGAGTCACAAATATTTGAACACTAAATTACAATAAAAAGCAACAAACACAAGAGAGAAAGAATACAAGGCACCAGTCTATTACGGAAATCCAAAGACATAAAGTATGCTGTATGGTACCCAACCAACAGTTTCCATTGCTAGCTCACGTCGCAGAAAAGAAGATGTGAAACTTCGGTCTTATAACTGGTTTGGCTTCGGGTCTAGATTTTGTTGTTCGCTGATCGCTGACAATGTTAAAACCTAATTGCATTATACAAAACTGTTTCTGATTATTTAAAGGTGGGCCCGTCCGTTTCCATTTTTTTGTGTGAAATCGGGACATGAATTTAGCCAGCGTTCCACCAAGAACTTCAAAATCGCCCGAAACCAATGATGAAACCACGGATTGAGAAATGCGTTTTAAGTCTGGTTCCGGGTTTAGCATTACTATAGAACCACAAGGTGGGAGTCCGCGACACGGTGTATGTTTGTTGTTTCATTATGGAGGAAGGAAACAGACTGCCGCTGTATAAACGTACATTATTCGCGAACATTAACGTGACGTGAACAAAAACTGGCAACGCGAACGGCGCAGCGTAAGTCATTGCAAATATTTTTCGCAAGTAAGTTTTGCTTTTATTTTGGGACTCGAGTCTTATTAGCCTTCCTCGAGTCGAGTCGAGTCATTCTGATGAGGGACTCGAGTCGAGTCGAGTCATTTGCTCGCAGTGACTCGAGTCGAGTCGAGTCATTTACCCGTCGGGACTCGAGTCGAGTCGAGTCGCCAAAAAATGTGACTCGAGTCGGACTCGAGTCGAGTCATTGACTCGAGTCATTACAACTCTGAGATTTGTATGGTGAGAACCCAAAACAATATCGATTTTGAGGTTATTTACAAAGTAGTTTGAACATCGGAGTACAAAATGTACAAAGAGTTGTCAATGCACTGTTCTTGCAAGTAAGCGCACAAGTTTTTATTACACATACATTTGTGTCATGACACCGTCCTATTATCAAGTACCCCCCCCCCCCCAGTTTTAGGATTTGGTCATCCACAGTTAGTGTCGAAACCTCCTTTAGCGACAATTTGTGTTTTCTTATCATCACCAGGCTAGTTGATGACATTCTTCTACCAAAGTCAGGGTACCAGGTTCAAGTCCCGCTTCACTCAATTTCTTGATTCCATATTGTCATTAAAGTTTTAAGTGAACATTGTCGTTTTTATACGTTGTGGTTCATTTAATAACAGTTATATTGTATCGGCAAACCAGGCAACGTTGAATAATTACTACTCACCTGGGTTTTGTCTTTCCTGAGAAGAAAGGACGGGTATTTCTCGCTCACATATGTAGGCGTAGTTTTGACTGCATACTCGGTCATACCACAAAAAAGCATCGGCGGGATGTAACCTGAAGCAAAGGCTTCCCTTATTATTGCTATACTGGCTCTGTGCGAATCCTTGATAGATGGCGCGGCTACCGTCCATCCAAGCGTACTGAGTAGTCAGACCTATCCAGTATCTTACACCGTCTACAATGGGAAGATTGCTGTTAATGAATTGCAATTCGTCTTGTGATTCGATGTACAGCAGGTGACCACCGTTGTTAGTGCAAAATCCTTTGGCCGAGAGTTGTAACCACCAAGATTCACTTATCCAATAACAGGTACTGTTGTGATTGACGTGTACTCCCAAAGAACATTCTGTTAAAACAACAATCAAAACTCGATGTAAATAAAAAGTACTGCACCACCAACTAGACTATGATATTATGATATTTTAACACCTCAACCTAGGATACTTGTCTCTTGATTGGCCAAAAGCACATCAACGTGCATTTCCAATAACTCTTTGTAAATGTTTTCTTTCAAAACAAGGATGCCCTCAATAAGAAGGTGCGGCTTTAACAGATTTTGTCGACTGTACGTTGAAAAAAGTCTTTATCCAAATTGTCATTTTGAACCAGAAAATAATTTAGCAAAGTTATATTCAGATACCGGGTCAATCTGACACAGGAGGTTTTTTTTTAAGAGTACATGCTCTGAAACGTTGGCATCTCTATCACTTACCGCGAGGGCGTTCACAGATGAAGTAGTGATTCTGATCACAGTTCTCACCATGTAAAAGTAATTTGCCGCTGGATTTATAGACAGAGAAACATCCAGCTGCACTGTCTTGAGAGATTTCAAACATATCATTGTTTGCCTGGTTACCATCCAGCCACACGTTGCTGCTTGTTGGAATCAGTCCGATCCAGTAATGATTCCTGACATTATTTCTGTTATCACTTCCGATGAGCGATTCTGAGTGATTCGCCAGGAATGTTTGTTCCTCCTCTGTCTCGATGTAGACTAGGTGGCTATTACGCGCAATGCAATCCCTATGGGCATCATCACGTGACATGCGGTCATCGCGGATGAATCTGTAGCAGGAACCTCTGTGTGACACCTCATCATCATCACAATCTGAAAAGCAATCATCCAAAATATACAGATATATGTACATTATGTCAACCATACTTTGAAAATCGGGGGCGACGACGGAATCTGCCAAAAAATGTACATTTGAGGACTATTGACAATGAATTTGTTACCTTATACTAACCGTTACATTACGTTGCGCTCTGCTTTTTTTGGCCTTGAAGTCGGGATTTCACGATAAAACAAATGTTTTAGAACAAAACTTAAAACCTCAAGTTGTTCTTCATTATCGTTGATTAGATGCAGGGGCGGCGGAACGCTTTTCAAACTAGGGGGGGGGGGCAACACCAAAAAGTGGGGGTTGCTCAGAAAAAGGGGCACCTTCCGTCGGTGTAAAAAGTGTAGGAAAAGAATCATGGCCCTGTTCATTTCACTCTAGGCCTAAACCTATATGACGAGGAACAAATTATGAATACGGTGTCCATCTTGCTCTTTGTGTTTCTTTTTCCTAGTTATGTGGAGAGACCATTTTGATCGCGAAAGTGTCACTGTTGCTTTTGATGCCCAGTTCAGTGACCATATCATTCGCGTGAAGAGCACCCAAGGAGCCAGGTTTCCATCTTTAGAGGGGCGCAATTTTAATGTTGCGAACGGGGCACTAACTGTGCTTTCGAGGGGCTGTTTTCCATCTCGAAAAATTATCGCGACAGGAGCACTATTGTTTTTGATGGCAAATATTCCATCTCGAGAGGGGCACTATTTTATTATTGCGAGAGGGATGTTTGTGCTTTAGAGGGATGGTTTTCCCATCTCGAAAAGGTGCTCAATTATATTATTACGAGAGGGTTATTTGTGCTTTCGAGGGGTAGTTTTCTATCTCAAAAAGGTACACAATCTAGTTAATGCGAGAGGGGTACTTGTGTTTTTTAGGGGCAGTTTTGCAATACAAAAGAGGATACAATTTTATTTGTAGCGCGATCATAATGCTTTCATATGCGTACGTTTAAGGGGCAGTTTTGTTTTCATGTCGAGGGGGCACATTTTATAACTGCGAGAGGGGCACTTTTGTTGGCCTGGGAAAATCTAGGTGGTGTCCCCCCCCCCCCTCCCCGCCCCGGTTCCGCCGGCCCTGATTGGATGATAGCGGACAGTTTACAGCTAATGGCCTAATTAATGAAAACAAAAAGGTCAGTGAGCACGTCATTTGATGTTGTAAAATTAAGGTGTTTGTTTAATTACAGAAAAATACAGTTGGTCTTACGGCCATTGCCATTATTTATGCACTCCAACATTCAACATGCAGTCAATTTTCAATAAGTACCTAACAAAATACGACATGTGTATACATGTAAACCATGGGGTAAATTACAAAAAAAAAAATAATAAAGACAATTAAACTAATCATATTTTACCTGTTGGTTCCTCAGAGCACGTCAGTGTTGCAGACTCAGTTCTACATTCACAAGTTGCAGCACCTCCTGACCTTTAAAACACATGTTTACAAAACTTCACTTGTTTTCATAATAACTCATTATTATGCTGATTTGAGACCATCTTTACCTTTATTTCAACTAATATTTGGTCTGGACATATCATTATTCTTGAAAGACCGGGAGCGATATCCGTCCCTGTTATTACTGGTGCTAAAAGGTGTGATTAAAATTGTATTGTCATTGACAGTTAAATGCTTATTCAAATATACTTCGAGTTATTCAATGATATTTCTTAGAAAAATATGCTTTACATGACGTAACGAAACATTTGCAGACGTACCGATACTCAACCTGTACGTAAATTAGTTTTATTCTAGTCTTATCAGAGTTTTTTGATTATGAGAATGTAAACTTCTCCTTCTTTTATTGGTTGGAGTGAGAAGTTGTGATTCAAGCTGGTCATCTCAAAAATACTTATAATGAACAACACTAAATCATGACGCGTGTATTAGATCTTGAACATCCAACCTACCCTTGCGCAGTTCGTCGTTGTCTGACTCCACCGTAGCTTTCCTGGCACATGACCGGTAACGAGTTCAGATGGACGCATATCATAACCAACTGTACGCATACGGCAAACTCAAGCTGGTTCATAGAAGGCATCTTCAAATTGTGAATGACATTAAGTGACCAGGATTTTACACATTTGTAAGTATAATGGTGCAAAATATCACATTTCTATCAGACAGAGCGAGTGTTCATGTACAGTTGGGAGCAGGAAATAAACTTGAACGTACACGAGATCCAAACCAACCCAGCTGCACTGTAGTGCTCCGTTGTGCCAAACACACAACACGTTCGTCATAATTATGACCTATTCAAAACCACTGTTGCGTACCTAGCTTTGTGCACCTGACAATAAAATAACAAAACTCACTATCGTCCAGTTTTCACAAGTTTTTCTTCCGCGAGTTGTACGTGTCCACATATGACACTCACTACACGCTATGAGCATGCGTTGTGTGGAAAACATGATGCCAACTCATCATGAAAATATTTTTTTTAGATGTAATAAGACAGTTTGTTAAAACATCTTCTCCTCGATCAAGACTGTTCTCCATATTCAGAGGTCTGATCTATTGCGATTGACTTTTGTTGTTATTAAACTTTAAAGTGTATTTTAAATTGTTTCATAAATAGTTCGTTCACCTTGGCTTTAACATTGTTGAACCGCATTCATTCGAGAACGAATACTTGGTCTCGTCCAGGCCTGTGTAAAAACGCTCACATTTTATACGTTTTAACATGTTTATTTTCGGATTTCGGAAACTGTTTAAGTGGCCGCTCTCTTCAATCTCACATTAATTTGTTTGTTTTTCTGTATTTCTTAATCATGTTTATGTGGGGAGGGGGGGGCTCCTTTGAGAAAAATGAAGGGTAAACTTATAAGTTTATATTTTCTCAATATAGACCTTTAATATAAGCCTAACTTCTCCTAAAATGTAAAGATCAACCACAGAGAGAACCTGATACCCACTGTCTGCGATGTTTGCGTATTCTTATAGGCCTACATACTATTCTGTGCATGTCATATAATGAATTGATACAACATTAATTTGAAATTCCGTTCCATGTTTAGCCTTCAGCACAAACGTCACCCATTCACTCCAAAACAATCCGTACGAGAAACCTCAAAGATATAGGAAAAAAACCAACAGGCGCCTGCCAGTTATAGAAACAAAGCAAACACAAACTAATGCATTTACACGATAACGCTATAATGAAAACACTTCCTTTTTTCGGGTTGTGTAAACTTACCTGCTTAGCTCTTTTATAAAGACAAATATTTGTTAGCTCTGCGTTAAGATAAAAATGGTTAGACCTACACGAGGTTATTTATCAGGCAAAAGGAGGGAGTATATTGTATTGACATGATCTAGAAAGGGTTCTACCTGCTAGAATTGTTCAACAGAAGATATCGTTAGCAAATTAAAGTTATAAGCAAAATTCAATCGAGAACATGTCACAAGGAATATACATGTGTGTCTGATTAATTTTGATCAACTGTTCTACAAAGCAATTTTACTTCGGCTGCGTTGACAATTTGTGAGTTATGTAGCTTCTGAAATCACGCATTGCAAAAAACGGTTCACCACGTAATAGTTCTTGAATCATTCCTCATTTCGAATTACTGGCTGCCCGGCAATAATTTCGTTCTCGTGGGTTAGCTGGTTCTCGCCCCACAATCAATATAAATAATGTGCGACTACGGAAGACTGTCGACGGTTTCCACAAGACATTTATCGGTTCAGTATCAAATCACAAAATGAAAACGGTGAGCTATCTAAATTGTGCTTTACACTCTCAGAATTGTACATTTGTGACTTCAAGCAGCAGTCGCAGTTGAAATGTAATAAGGAAATAAAGTTGCAAATAAATACACACGCACATTTTCCACACGGTATGATATTGGTCCAAGGTTCTCCGCAGGACGTTTCACACGGCACGTCATATGACCTTTTCAAAACCATTGTTGTGTACCAAGCTTTGTGTATTCTACAATACTTGTTGCTGTACTCAATATCGTACAATTTGGACAAGTTTTACTTCCGTCTATTTTACGTGTTATCCTATCAGGCTCTCAACAAATTAATAACTGAATATTAACCTGGAACATGTACACAATTATTTAAAGGAAGCGCTAACATCGCAGAGTATTAATGGTAGCTTACTGCCATGATAACATCTGTATTAAAGCATATTATCTCGTCGTGTCCATGTTTTAAATATGAACATGTGTGGTTTTATCTAGAACTTATTTCTCAGCTTTGAACAATGATTTCTCGTCCATGTATGTTCAAACTCCCGAAATACACGTAATATTTAGGTTGTTGGGGCTGAAGTGTTTTCTTGCTTCATGGACAGTTCGTTCACCTTGGCTTTGTGAAACCTTTGTCACTGTTCCTATATAACCTTGTAAAGGCATTCAGGCGAGGATGGAGGTGCAATTTGGGGAAAATACACAGAGCACAAATTTATAAGGTCGCCATGTTTATTTTATTATTCTCAATAGTCACAGGTTGTCAGCAAAAATCTCTCAAGTCTCAAATAGTTTGGTAGTCAGCTCAAAAAGGACGGGCTACTGTAGGAGCATTAACATTCGCCCGAAGTACCCACTGCCAAAATAGCCGCTGACAACCTCGAATTTGTTCGATGTCTTAATTAGATTTGTTTTATACCAACAACCCAAGGTCAACTCTAAATTGCGCATGCGTATGAAACTTTGGCACTTGTGAGTGCACCCCATTGCCAATGACACTAGTGCTAAATCCCCATACTTCAAAATTCTTTGTAAAATACTCAGAACTCTCACAGGTGTTCAGGCTGCACAGAAAAATTAATATCAACATGTCGTCTGTCATTTTTCTGTCAATTTTTTGAGAAATTCTCACCCCAACGAAGACCACCCGTAAAACGAATATGTTTCCCAAACTGGAAAAGTAGCCATTTTGAGAAAAAAAAGGATCCCTCCACAATATGGCCATATAGCCCCACTTTCGGACCCAATTGCATCCGAAATTCTCAGAATTGGAAGCCCCAAGTTCAGGCCAGAAGTTCAGTGCCGATAATTCCCCATGGCTCTCAGAACTCTCAAATATAGAATAATTTGAATGTACAAGTTTTCATTCATGAGCTCGGCGGACGGCACCCGGCAACCAAATCCACCTCACTAATAGAGATCAGTGAATGACATTGTCAACATGTAATGTTATCATGGCAGTAAGCTACCATTAATACTCTGCGATGTTAGCGCTTCCTTTAAATAATTTTGTACATGTTCCATCCAAGTGATAGTACATTTTTGTAAATTGTGTACCACCGTTGGCTTTAAAAAAAAAATTATCATTCACTTCAAAACAATTCGTTCGAGAAACATCAACGTTAAAAAAAATATATAAAGGAAGCCTACCAGTTCTAGAAACATAACAAACCTAATGGCGATTTACATGACACTGCTATTATAATGAAACACCTCCTTTATTCAGATTATATCAATAATAATTGATAATATCAACTTACTCATCAGCTCTTTTGTAAAGACAAATATTTGTAAGCTCTGCGTAAAGATAAATAAACCTGATTACATGAGGTTATTAATTGGACAAAAGCAAGGAAGTATATATTATATTTACAGAATATTTCAAAAGCGAATTCTGGTCTTACATCAATAATACATTTTTAGGAAGGGCCCTACCCCCTAGAAATGTTCAACGGGAGATATCGTTAGCAAATTTAAGTGATAAGCAAAATTCAACTGATAACAAGTCACAAGCAATACGAATTGACGCAATGTACATGCCAGGCATATCGTGTTACGAATGAAATTGTATACATCTCTGTGCTTTAACAGAAAATTAAAACTTGAAATCACTCATGACACTGTTAATAAAAAAAAACCTCTTGTTAAACTTGACAAGGAAACAGTCAAACAAGTACCAAATTTACTACAGCTATAAGCTGGATTCGATATAGACTGTTTTCAAATTGTTCTTTGTAAAAGAGGGCAATTTTGTTACAAGGCTCTTACATTATCGCCATTTTCAAGTCGCTTTGTCTTCTTACATATATTTTAAACCAAATAGTCCAAAATAAAATTGAACATTTTACGTTAGAATTTAAAAATTTCTCCGATCACATCACCACTTGTCTTTACAAAAGTATTAAGTTAATAAAAACTGAGTAGTACAATTTAATGATATTCAAGTGAAAAGAAGGTATTTTTCTAAGGCATTGCTACAGGAGCATTTGAGAAATTTTTTTTTCATCGTCGTCGATGTTCACATACGCTGACTAGTAAAAATAGAATTTTTTTAAAATGTCTCATGCGTAATAATTCTACATCTTTCGACATGTTAAGTTTCGCATATTTGATTTTTTTTCGTATAATAATACAAGCAATATACTAGATACATGTAGTTCGAAACTGTAATTTACAAGAAATCGTGAAATGATCATCTAAAACATTATTAACTATTGCGATTTACTTTCGCCTAAATGTCATCGCCTCTTGTCTTACTCTTTGGACATTACTTTAACTTAAGCTGAGTATTACAACTTGATGAATTTAAAGTAGTTCGTGTATATACAACTGTTTTTCTTGATAGCAGTTTTAAGTTTTGCAATTTATATGACCGCAATATCGTAGTGTCGTAACAAAAAAAATACTATTGTAACTAAACTAAACTAAACTAAACTAAACTAAACTAAACTAAACTAAACTAAACTAAACGTTTCGCCTATTCCTGTAAATGTGCCATTAAGGATGCATTTTTGTAATAGATTATACTTTCGGAATAGAAGTTAGATTAAGGAGACATTTCAATGTCTTTCAAATGACACAACTCCAATTTACAGGCCACATTTTACCGAAGCAAGTAGGCTAGATCAATTGGTCGTGGTCCCAAAACATAAATGTATAAAAATTCGTGGGGTAGGATAAGGTAAAATGGGGTTAAGCGGTCATACAAATTTGAAAATATTTGTGCACAAGTTTATGGAGATGTCTCCCTAAGGTATAATTCTCGGTAATTATTTTTACACCGCCTATTAATAAATAATCTGAGTCAAATCCAAAATCCCTCACGAGTGTAAAATACACACAGTACGGATTAAGCTAAACATCTGCTCTTCACAATTTAAGGCGCAGTCAAATTTGCACATTTCTGCAAACATTTCTAGATCTATTAATTTAGACCGACAGCAATTTTCAATATGTTTGAGTCGTGTACTCTTGCGTATATGAATCTCCGTAGCAACCCCTTCAATACTAAGAATCAAGTGTGTAAAACCAGCTGGTGTTTTATCGGCGGTTTAAAACAACCCACTCGACCAATCAGAATATATAAACTGTATAAGGTATATCAGTCAGACATTTCTCACTTTTGTTTGATTTAAATGAACCAAAAGAATATGCCTACAATTGTGTACAAAATACAGATTTTCTATTTTTCTAAATTTCTTCACAGGCCATTATTATATCTCGGTTTCCAAATAAAATTTCCACCACTAAATAAAATTTAAGCTTAAACCGCCTTCAAAACGTTATTCGAGTCTAAGTTTGCTCACTTCCAAGCTTCGCTAGAATACCTCCGGTAGGATGCCGAGAATAACAAATTTTGAGGAACCAAACTATGAAACTCATACCCTTTTGTTGGTGACAGTTCAGCAAAAGACTCCACCCATAATGAACACTAAATTCAACCTGCCATGCTACGGTGTCCCAGACAGGATATGGTGCAGACCTCAGTTTTATCATCAATAAGGTATGCATGTCAGATGGAACAATACTTGGTACGTTGTACCAATCTTAACTTAAGTAGAAGTGAAATTTCTGTTAAAATTATTTCTCCATGGAATTTCAGGTAATTGGAGTGGCGTAACTACGGGGGGGGGGGGGTCCACGGGGGCATGTGCCCCCCCCCCCTCCCACACATACACACACACCCACACATGTTTACGTTACATACCAAGTGTGGACATTCCCTTGGTTTCGTGTAGTTAAGAAAAAAACTCTGAAAAAAAAAACATTTTACTCTCACTGTGAAAAACTCTTTAAATCCAATGCTTTTCTATGATTCAATTTAATGTTTCTCTTCATTTTGTCACAGATAAATCTAAACAAAAATGCCTCTAAACCTGTTTTCCAGAAAGGGGGAGACACTGTGTGGACTTCCCCACGTCCACACAACGTCGCCTCTACCTGGTTTATGTGGACCTCTTTTGTTCGGAAGTCCACACTGTGAATGTAATGCCTACCCACCCACACACAACCCACACACACATGTTGGTGATCAACCCCCACCCCCGGCTCTCCCCCTCCCATCGTTGAAAATCTTCAACTGACCAAAAATATGTATCATTTGCCTTCCAGGCCAGCACAAGTCCATCACAAGTCCTTCATTAACCTTCAGTATCAAGTCAAGTCACTAGCTATTCAAATGAGCTGTTACAAAAGCCTTTCTTTGTCATTGTTCATCCCGTTATACTTCTGACTGGATGCATGAACAGATTTGTGACTGGAACTGTGACTGGACTTGGGAAAGGACTTGTGCTGGACTGGACTACAACACTGTTGCCTTGCTTCAGTGCCCCTTGAAAACATTGTGCACCCCAGGTGATCCCAAGTTTAACCCTAGTTACGCCACTGGGGAAATGCCTGATTTATAGTCTCAGTCCAAAGTAGAGTACTCACTCTCGTTATTTATGGCTGGTGCCCCTGGCGTTGGTTTCTTGCCGACACGGTTGGAAGTGGAATACACATCGCCTTCAGGCGGGCCTGTGAGGCTGTAGACGCCTTCATCGGAAGGGGCATTCGCACTTGGGCCTCGATTACCAAGCCGATCGAAGGTGCTGTATTCGTCATCGCCTGGCGGGTTTGTGAGGCTGTAGAGGCCATCATCAGTAGGAGCATTATTACTTGGACGCCGAACACCTGGACGATTGAAGGTGTTATATTCGTTGTCTTCTGGAACACTTGTGAGGTTGTAGACGCCGTCATCGGTTGGGGAATTCGCACTAGGGCGTTTACCTCCAGCTCGATTGAAGGTGTCGTAGTCGTTTACTCCAGGCGCACTTGCCAGACTGTAGTCATCTTCATCATCTGCAGTGGGCTCCTCTAGTTTGAAGTAGTAGTTGTTTTCTGGGTTCTCATCTTGGTTGTTATGGAAGCTTGCCGAGGGGCTATCAACACTGACGTACCCACTACCACCAGAGGGTTTCTTGGTGCGTGCCGATGGCTTACTTCCATCAGTGAAGACAACAGAAGGAGCATCAACATCCACATAGCCGCTGTCCTTCGTCAGGTTATTGGGCTTGGATAAAAGGACTGGTGCCTTGACTCCCTTAGCACCATTCCACTGACCAGATGCTGCTACAGTCACGTTCTCTGGATCCACGTACTCGTTCTCAGGGTCATCTTTGTCTTGTTTAGGGCCGTTGTTTAGGATCGGTGTATACACCGCTGGATCGTCATCATCATCGTTCCCAGTTTTCTTGAGGTCTGTGTACACGTCATTGCCACGCTTTGGCTTGTACGCTGTGTACCCCGTAGACGGGATGGGAGCATTGCCGTCTTCGTTGCTGTTCTTGGTACCCTGCAGGGCAGTGTAGACATCCTTCTGTCCCTTGGGATTGTATGGAGTGTAGCCAGCAGATTGGATGGTGGCGTAGCTCTCACCTTCGCTGGTTCCCGCTGCACTGGCTGACCGATCATTTGGCTGGTGACACAATCAGAAAGAAAGCTAAGGCAAAGTTTGTGAGGTTCATTAATGGAAGCAATAATTACTTCAAATACCATTTTAATAGATTAGACGGTATTCAGAACAAACTTTCATAATTTCAATGATCAGATGACGTACCTTGTGCATACGACTATGCAAAAATATCAGTGTTCCTGAAAGCTTAGGCCCTGTATATTGGCAATCGTTTATATACCTTTATTTCGGCAAGGACATTGTTAGGATCCGACTTCAAGGGTCTCGGGCCAACCACTGCCACGGGTTTCAAGATATCTTCAGTCACGTGATGATCCTCATCCAATCCGAATGTTGGATTGACTGTGGAGAAATAAAAACGAAGTAACCGAAATATATAGCAAATACGGAAAAATCAGATTATCGTACAGAGAGGGGGTATCTGTCGCTCACGACAAGAAAACAGTATTTGTCTACAGAATAATAATATTGATGAATTTTGATGGGAAATCACCAAAACACAAAGTTCGAATTTATTTTCTGTCTTGTATGTTGAAAATTATGATCACATGCAATTCAATACTTGTATTGCTCATTTTGCAAGTTTGGGGTTATTAATGCATAGTTCTCACCATTAAATGTGTCTGACCCAATCACATGTGTGTTTTCTGTCGGCGGCATGTCATTTCTGGGATAATTTTGAAAAATATAAACAAGTTAATGAAAATAACAAATATCTGCTGTTAGGCCCAAAAAAAAGATTAGTCGGTCTCTGGTCAGCGCGCGCGTCGATTTTAATCATGCGCGTCAACCTTTTTTTTTCTTCAAATTGTCCGCGGTAGCTACAGCACCGCCCTCTATTGCCGTACCTCCTCAAATTTGTGTACCAAGGAATGGGGAAATTGCACTAAGGCAAATAATGGAGGGCAACAAGGCAAATTATGAAGGACCCCAATGTATATGAGGACACAACAAAAGCAAAATAGTACCCACCTTGTCTGTACAATCCAAGCTTGGGGGGAAAAAAACGCGTCGCCGCATCAATTCCGGAACTTTGGTCTGACCAGAGACCGAATATTTTTTTTTGGCCTTAGCTAACTTTGCTCTAGAAAATGGTTTCATTTTGATCGAAAAAAACCTTCAATTATTGAATTTAAATCAAACACACGAAAAAGTACCGACAGTACTTATTAGTAGGCCTAACCCTTTAAGTGTAGATAAATGCACCAAAAAGTACATAAACGTTTGGATGAAAGGTCAATGAATTTTCATTGAGATTCCTTCAGACATGCACTGACGTGAATTAAGTCAGCTTCCATCCAATTGAAATCGCCAATTTCTGCTACTAGAAATCAGATCACTTGCCCCTCATTGTTTCTCTTCTCCCTTCTTCTCCACCAAATGAGACCAGCAACCAGCACCACCAACAGAACTATTAAGGTCAGAGTCACTCCAATAGGGATGCCGATTGGTACGCCAGATTTCATAGACTCCGAGTCATCTGGAACACAGGTGAATTGGCCATTGACGACAGTCACATTAGATGAAGCTCCGTTTACAGAGCAGCTGCAGCTAAAATTGGATGGCCACACCATAGCTAAACAAGAAGTAATTGATCGTGATTGGAAGATGGTCGGATTTTGATTTTAATCCTCGAAAACACTGCTTAAAAAAACCTCAGTTAACCTGAAATGTTACAGACAAACTCGCTCACAAACGTTTAAATTAATAAATTGGAAACTGATGAAAAGCTTATTTTTTTGATCGAGTAGGCCAACTTTTACTCAGTCATATTTACCATTGACGGGTAAATTCATTCACTAATATAAAGGCAAATAAAGGCTTACTCGCTTTATCTTCTTGAAAGTCAACGACAACGAGATCACAGAAACCGCAGCTACAGTTAAGCATCGTTGCACTGTGAAACATACCAAAGATATAAACTGATTTAGGCAGGATTGAGCTTCATCACTGCTGTGTACAAGCTAAAAAGTTCGAGTTTCCCGTTAGTTTGGGCATGCGCTAAATGTCCTTAAAATGGAACCGGGGCCAGTATTGTCGAAATCCAAGACCAAACTGATTTTTGAGACAGGGCCTAAAACTACCACACCACCATGCCTTTTACATAATATAACTCTGTGAATTTTACAAGAAAAGTAGAAAGTTGAAAATGAACCTACCCATTGCTGGTCTTTGTAATGCAACCACATTCGTCGATGAAATCCCCCGACTCGCACTCGTACAGGATAGGTGGAGAATACCCATCACGGAGTCTGTACACACATAGGGCACCAGACTGAGCAATCCGAGTCAAATCAGAAGGAATCGTCGGCAGACACAAGCTAGATCCTGTAAAATGTGTCACAATACGCAGTAAGGGTCGGTTCGTATGAAACGACATTTTTCGCTACGTTGGCCTACGAAAGTCTGGAAGCTAAAACAATAGACTTAAAATGTGTTCACCTTTCGCGTGGTTCGGCAGCTCAATGGCCAACGAAATCGCGTTCGTTTTTGCATCGAGTATGAACCGGCCATAAAGTTTGAGATCCCGTTCTCTTCAGGTGTGGCACCCTAAAGCATGCATTTAATAATTGAATTACTCATTTAATGCCAAAAAATTATGAACCTTGCAATCAGACATAAGTTATCATTTATTTTGCAATTCAGTTTGTGGGACGCCTATATGTCCTTTCTTGCACCAGTCTGCTTGCCCTGACTTTTTTCTTAAATTTTTATCTTTTTATGTTTTCAGCTTTTGATATGTTCATTGATGTTTTAAGTGTTGACTGAATAAACAATACTACTAGTTTGATCTAAGGTAGTCCCGTTTGTTATTTTGTTTTCTGGCCAAGGTGAGGCTTGTGCAAGTCTAATTCACAAGTGACATCACAATCGGTCAGTGAGGTAGTCAGTCATTTGAGCGGAGTCGGCGAGACAGAGACTTAAAAATGAAAACCTTATTACAAAACTGGAACCCAATCATTCATGCATGATTATATGGGCATATATGTATCGTTATTAAAGATAGACTCTTCACTCCCTTCAAATTGTACATTCCCTAATTATTTTTTGGTATATTTTGGGTGTCTGCAAAATGAAAACAAAAAAATGTTTGCTGCTTCTGAGTATAGATTATTGTCCTGGCGCAATGTTTGCAACATTTTTAAAGTTATCCCATAAATAAAAGTGGGCAGATTTTACCTTTAATGTTATATTCAAAAGTAAATGGCTTTTGAATTGAAGGACAAATATCTATTAAAAAAAAAAATCATCTATGTTTTCGGGGTGAATCTCAAAAACAGATGGAACAGTACGTCTTTGTACAGGATACTGGTTATTGGCATCTGTGTTAATATTCCCCCCTCCGCCGGCCGCCAATAAAGGTAAACAAATATCAAAATGCTTCAAATCATCTCACCTTGCCATTGCTCTGCAACACGCAGTCCAATCGTCTCATTTCGCTCACAGACATAACCAAATGCACTACTGCACAAATGATCACCCACAATGAATTGCGAGGCACTGCTCAATCGAAAGCAAACATTCCCTTCCCATCCATTCGATGTGTCTGTTAATCCTGGTAATGCCGGAGAACCATCCATCCAGCCATACTCTACAGGGTGATTCAAAGAGAAATTGCATGGATTAATTATTTTCCCTCTAAAAAAAAATTAATTAATTTGATACACCAATGAAGCATGTATTGAAGAGCACGTTCTTTTACTCGTAAAAAAATAAGAATAACTGAAATCGACCGATGCTATCAGAAGTTATGCATGTTTAATAAAAGAACCAATTTGTACTGTCGTCCATAGAATGATACATGTTAGCTATTCAGCTGAGAACTAGAGATTAATACTTACAGGCATTCACATACAAATTGGATTTTAATAATTTGAATCAAGTCTAAAACATTTTCTGTAAGTTTTAAATTTGTGTTTTGTATATGGGGAACAAGTATAGTTTTTTTCTCAAATTGTGATGGTGATTTTCATCCGTTTTCCTATCGTTCATTCATGGAGGTAGGAAAACTCTGTTTCACTGTATTTAAAAGGTATGCATCAAAATGTATGGGTAAATGGTGAACAGCTATATTCTGTGGTATTCAGTGTATGCAAATTACCAGAAACGTTCAAACTTACTAGTCAATAAGATGTACTTTATTACATTGTGTTACTTTTTATTGAATGGAGCGAGCCACATATTAAAACAAATCTAACTCGGTCACTTTCACTTTGACTTACCCCGTGAAATGCTATCGATCCAGAAATTCCTACGCGAGCCACGTTGAGATATGATGTAATCTAGCTCGGCTCTCGTCTGGATACGAAGAAGGTGACTTCCGTCTCGTTCACACCGACTGTATGCCCCTCCCCATGAACTCCATGATGACCAAGTATAAGGGTACACACCGGTAAATCGATCCGCCAAGCTCATGAATAAAAGTTATACCCTCAAAATATTCTATATTAGAGAGTTCTGAGCGCCGTAAAATTGGGGAATTGAAGAGATATGGTAGTGAACCTCTGGCCCGGACTTGGGGCTTCCAATTCTGAGCATTTTGGATGCTATTGGGCTCGAAAGTGGCGCTATTTTGCCATGTTGTGGAGGGATCGTTTTTCAAGATGGCTACTTTTCCGCTTTGGGGAAAATAGGGGTCGTCTTCTTTGCGTGAAAATATCTCGAAAAGTCAATGGTCAACCCACCATAAATTGAAAAGAAATTGAAAGATGACACATTGATCATCATTTTTCTGTGCAGCTTGAATACCTGTGAGAGTTTTGAGTATTTTTAAAAGAATTTTGAAGTACGGGCATTTAGCACTAGTGTCTATGGGAGTTTATTTGCAGGTATGCACCCTATAAAGAATCACAAAGATGGCCGTTTCGCGCATGCGCTGTGCCGCGGCAGTGGTCTTTTCAGTGGGCGGAACCTACGGGGAGGGGGAAAAAGTGTTTTAAAGGTATCAACAAGGGTTTTTTCCGTAACGGATGCTTCCAAATCATAAGGGAGCAGTAGGCTATCACCCGATTACAACAATTGATAGTTGAAAAGGGGGGGGGGGGGCATTTTGAGCTTTAAAGTAGCTGGAACTCAATTTATTGTCGCTGGGGGCGCTCTACAGCTTAGCAGGGGCAAAACAATCACTATTTTCGGGCTTAATATCGACCTCGGATAATATTTTTCTTTCATTTTTTTTTTCAAAATATTGACTTTGGAGATATTCTGCTTGTCCTGAATGTGATTTTGTGTTAAAATTTAAAAGTTGCCTGCTATTATAGGGTACACACCGGTAAATCGATCCGCCAAGCTCATGAATAAAAGTTATACCCTCAAAATATTCTATATTAGAGAGTTCTGAGCGCCGTAAAATTGGGGAATTGAAGAGATATGGTAGTGAACCTCTGGCCCGGACTTGGGGCTTCCAATTCTGAGCATTTTGGATGCTATTGGGCTCGAAAGTGGCGCTATTTTGCCATGTTGTGGAGGGATCGTTTTTCAAGATGGCTACTTTTCCGCTTTGGGGAAAATAGGGGTCGTCTTCTTTGCGTGAAAATATCTCGAAAAGTCAATGGTCAACCCACCATAAATTGAAAAGAAATTGAAAGATGACACATTGATCATCATTTTTCTGTGCAGCTTGAATACCTGTGAGAGTTTTGAGTATTTTTAAAAGAATTTTGAAGTACGGGCATTTAGCACTAGTGTCTATGGGAGTTTATTTGCAGGTATGCACCCTATAAAGAATCACAAAGATGGCCGTTTCGCGCATGCGCTGTGCCGCGGCAGTGGTCTTTTCAGTGGGCGGAACCTACGGGGAGGGGGAAAAAGTGTTTTAAAGGTATCAACAAGGGTTTTTTCCGTAACGGATGCTTCCAAATCATAAGGGAGCAGTAGGCTATCACCCGATTACAACAATTGATAGTTGAAAAGGGGGGGGGGGGGCATTTTGAGCTTTAAAGTAGCTGGAACTCAATTTATTGTCGCTGGGGGCGCTCTACAGCTTAGCAGGGGCAAAACAATCACTATTTTCGGGCTTAATATCGACCTCGGATAATATTTTTCTTTCATTTTTTTTTTCAAAATATTGACTTTGGAGATATTCTGCTTGTCCTGAATGTGATTTTGTGTTAAAATTTAAAAGTTGCCTGCTATTATAAAGAATCACAAAGATGGCCGTTTCGCGCATGCGCTGTGCCGCGGCAGTGGTCTTTTCAGTGGGCGGAACCTACGGGGAGGGGGAAAAAGTGTTTTAAAGGTATCAACAAGGGTTTTTTCCGTAACGGATGCTTCCAAATCATAAGGGAGCAGTAGGCTATCACCCGATTACAACAATTGATAGTTGAAAAGGGGGGGGGGGGGCATTTTGAGCTTTAAAGTAGCTGGAACTCAATTTATTGTCGCTGGGGGCGCTCTACAGCTTAGCAGGGGCAAAACAATCACTATTTTCGGGCTTAATATCGACCTCGGATAATATTTTTCTTTCATTTTTTTTTTCAAAATATTGACTTTGGAGATATTCTGCTTGTCCTGAATGTGATTTTGTGTTAAAATTTAAAAGTTGCCTGCTATTATAGGGTACACACCGGTAAATCGATCCGCCAAGCTCATGAATAAAAGTTATACCCTCAAAATATTCTATATTAGAGAGTTCTGAGCGCCGTAAAATTGGGGAATTGAAGAGATATGGTAGTGAACCTCTGGCCCGGACTTGGGGCTTCCAATTCTGAGCATTTTGGATGCTATTGGGCTCGAAAGTGGCGCTATTTTGCCATGTTGTGGAGGGATCGTTTTTCAAGATGGCTACTTTTCCGCTTTGGGGAAAATAGGGGTCGTCTTCTTTGCGTGAAAATATCTCGAAAAGTCAATGGTCAACCCACCATAAATTGAAAAGAAATTGAAAGATGACACATTGATCATCATTTTTCTGTGCAGCTTGAATACCTGTGAGAGTTTTGAGTATTTTTAAAAGAATTTTGAAGTACGGGCATTTAGCACTAGTGTCTATGGGAGTTTATTTGCAGGTATGCACCCATAAAACCGATAGCAAGAATTTCCAAATCCAAGCAGATCTTCCAAACACTCTGCATATTAATTAAAAAAAGTGACACGATAATGAATATTAATCCAATAGGTATTAAGTTCTGTTTCATTATTATTGATTCAGAGCTAAGTCTATAGGTTTCTATGGTCACGCTTGCATAGACATGCTCATCATGCTGCACAATAAAGTCTTATGACATTGTATACAAGTATTTGGAAATACTTTATTACATGTAATATATTGATGCGGTCTTGCATTACACGCATCAACATTTTGCAACAGCGTGGTTTTTTTTCAATTCATCTGCTTCAATATTTTGTTCAATTATTTTACCAAAAATTTAAGCCGATCTGTACCTTACAGTCAAAGAAAGGGAGACGGTAAAGACAAAGAAAACAATGTAAAGCATACAATTAAAAACGTCTGTAAGTGCGCGTTTATGTGTTCAAGTTTAAACTAAGTTTTACAGTGAAGTAGTAAATAGCTTACATTTTGATGCGTCCAAAAAACATTCCCATGACAAATAGCATCTAAATTATTTTGTTTACTGAAAATATTTCCACTACAAATAAAAACCACGTAGGCCTCTATGACAATTAAAAACTATGTACATGTTTATGCATATGTATTATATAAACGAAATCCTTGTGTGCCAACTTGTAAAATGCCGTTTACAAATCGAAATTCTAGCTATTTTATTGAATGAGTTTAGTAATAACATTTAGCTTTGTGACTGTTATCCATATTTACCCCTTAATTATAAAATGTAGAGTCAGAAGCCTTTAACTTACCTTCAGATTCATCACCCGATTTCGGCCGCTCACATATGAAATTACGGGTGGTTGAGCAGTAGAAGTAATTAGTACTTAGTATTTGTAAATCTCTACTATCGAGGTAAAAGCACGTCCGATACGTGACGGGCAATAAATCGGAGGGAAGAAAGGAACCATCTGACCAAGTCGAAAAAGGAATCAGTCCAATCCAGTAATCGGTAGAACTAAGCGAAGGAGTTCCGGATGCATTTCTTTGCAGAAACTCCAGCTCCTCTCGTGTCTCGATGTAGACGAGATGGCTGTGTCTGTTAATGCAATACGCATTTGCATCATTCCGTGTCTTGGAGTTATTTGTGACGAATCTGTAGCAGGATCCTCCATGAGACAATTCACCTGCACTGTCACATCCTTTTAGATAAAAAAAAAAACATGTAATGTTAATGCCTGGGTTTAAATATTCTTCTTATCAGAAACTCATGATTACTATTATTTCATAGATTCCTTTGCTCGACAAAATAATAAGCTTTAAGTGGATGACCAATTTGTTATGTGCATGAGAATGCTGGTAGATGCTGTTAACCAACTGCATGTTTGCTAATTATTATTTTTAAAGGAGCGACTTTAGTTTTTACGTGTCTG